ACCCCCTTAATCCGGCCCTGAATAGGTCTGTACGCAACGTGCAAAATTACCGTGAGTATACTTCAGAAGCGTGGTGTCATTTAAAAGATTATCAAATTTTCTACGGTGACAAATTTCCGTTCCTGTAGCAGAATATTGAAGTTAATTTTTGAAATACCTATGATTTTGCCGTAAACCAGTTAGATAGGCAACCCTCGTAAGGGGAGGAAAGTACGGCGACTTCTTGCCCCGAAAAATAACTGAGCGTCCTATTACTCGTACGTGCAGAGATTTAAAATTTCATTCAGGCGGAGTTGTAGGTCCTCATCAATGGCGTATTAGTTTAAAATTATTGTGATTTTCTCCATATCTTCTTTATTCTAATAAAATCATTTATAAGACGCTCGATGGACGGGGTAAGGAAGGGGAGTAAGACGGTCAATGAGCAGGAGTGAGGAAGAGGAGTTCAAAGGTCGGAGTTTTAATAGATTGGGTCTTTACTTTCAGAGGCCTTTGTTTAGCCATAAGAGAAACTCACACTGAAAAAAAAAAACACATTGGATCTAGAGTCCAGACTCTTAAAAACATCGACAAGAAAAAATACTCTTGATTCAATCAGAATCTAGCTTAAATGAAAAACCAAGCCTCATAATTTAAGCGGATTTCGTTTTGATTCAAGCAAAAATCCGATTGAATCAAGAGTATTTTTTCTTGTGAATGTTTTCAAGAGTCTGGACTCTAGATCCAGTGTGTTTTTTTGCCAGTGCATTAAGAATATTGTTTGACGGGAAATGTTTCTTTGAAACATCGTTTTATTATTCGATTGAAATGATTTGCTCATTAACCGCCAACGGGCGCTTTCGACGATATCGCTGGCCGCGAAGCGGCCTTAGAGGGCGCGCAGCGCCCTGAGGATTGGGTCGCGTAGCGGCCAGGGGGCAGACCCACTAGTTTCTGTATCATTTTACAAAAAAATTTCTGGAGAAAATATATTTCCGATAGAAAATGCCAAGGGCGGGAAATTCTGACACTCGGTCGATGGGGCTCGGCTTGTCTTAACCGCGGCGCTGACCCATAAAACCATGTGCGCTATATCTTAAACGTTACACTGTACAACCAGCAATCAGTCGCTATTAATTCGCAGTGCTGAATTGCTTCTACCTCACTTTAGACGGTCGGCGCATCTTTAAATGATCAATTTATTCGGCTGCAGTTAGCGAATGTACACCGCTTGAGCCCAAACGTGACGTTCTGTCTGACGCTCCCACGCGCCGCAGCGGCGTGGCGTGCTTTGCGATATGTCGATTGATCTGTCATTTAAACCTATGGAAAAGGATCGATTAACAGGGTGTTCGCAGTGAACATCTTAATAATCGATTCTTTACCACAGATTCAAATGGGGAAATATCGATAACTCGATCATTCACGCCACGCCCCTGACGCGCCGCAGGTTCAGTTTCACTGACGAATGTTAGGTTGTGATGTCATTAAATATCTGACCTATTAGCTATGAGTTTATGAGTTTAGGGATTTCTTAGATAGATACAAGGAAATACTTGTAGTAGTTACGTTATGTTTAAATTAAATTCCTTCAAAAAAACAATGAAGGGATTTCGGCCTCTGAATGCTCCCTTCTAAAGTCTAATTCGCTGAAGTAACGTTCTCAGAGAGGACGGTGAATGTTCTTTTTTTTATTTATTTTTTTAATATGCTTTAGCACTTATCTGTTAGTAAAAATTTATCTTTTTTTTTAGAAAATGGGCAAAATAAAAGCACTCTTTTAAACTAACTTGCATGTCCTGGAACAAAATTCAACATTTCCCATTCATGATCCCAACCAGGAGGATTCCAACCAGGAGCCCAACCAAGAGGGGGGGGGGGTTAGCCTCCCCCTTCCTAAACGGTGTGGCCGCATGTAACCACTCATCCGTCCTTCGTTTAGGTCTCCATGCATGAATAGTAAATGGACCCCTGCCGCCTCCATACTTAAATCCCTCTAGGTATAGCTTTGCTTAGTGTGCTGCATTGCTGCAATCCCCATAATAGCTATTACAGGGTGTCTAGTATTTTTTAATTTTGAAAAATCCTGATATTTTCCTTATTTTTCCGGATATTTTATAAAAAAATTCCTGATTTTTCTCATTTTGAAAATTCCTGATATTTTCCTGATTTTTCTCGACCCCTGGCACGATAGGCAAATAGCAGTAAGACTTTCTCCGCTGAGGAGATTTGCGTAAGAAAAATTCCTAATAAAACGTCCGATTCTCCGATTTTCCTGATTTTTTCCTGCTCGGACAAAATTCCTGATATTTTCCGGTTTTTCCTGATGCTATAGACACCCTTAAAGACGACTCGCAGCTCAGTTTCGAAGACTCCTGCATGCGTTGCGTTCCTGTGAAACTGACAACCTCGGTTCTCGGACGACTTCCAGATTCACAATGCAGTTCATTCGGTGCGACGGGAGCTTTTTCTCCTTGCAACAAAAGCTCTCCATGAGACCTGGAAGGGACGAGTGGCGGCGATGGACGTAGGGGGCAGGGACGGAGGACAGAAGCAGGGGCCGACCTTGGTCAATCAAAAGCAAATGAGGGATTTATCGGCGCAAGGTCGAGTCGACTGTTGAATATTGACCGTTGTCCCGTTGAAAGACTCGACGACCCGGCCACTGACGTACGTGGCAGATTTTGCAGTATATAAAGTAAAAAAAAACCTTACACTGGAAAAAACCACATTGGATCTAGAGTCCAGGCTCTTAAAAACATCGACAAGAAAAAATACTCTTGATTCAATCGGATTTTTGCTTCAATCAAGAACCAAGCCTCTTAATTTGAGCGGATTTCCTTTTGATTTAGGTAATCAAAAATCTGATGGAATCAAGAGTATTTTCTCTTGTCAATGTTTTCAAGAGTCTGGACTCTAGATCCAATGTGTTTTTTTTTCCAGTGTAGTTAAAATGGGTTCAATAGTCATAGAGTTGATACTATTAACATGCGGACCATTAATTTCAGTGTTGCTGAACACAGGGTGTCCCAGGATCAAGTACGATTATTGAAGGAGTTGATCATTCTTTGGGTCAAAAAAAGACGTTTTCGTGTTTCCCGTTAAAATCAAAGCAATTTTTGGGGGTTTTTAGGAGCAGGGCCGGATTTACCTTCTTGCCGCCCATGGACCGCCTGTATTTTGCGGCCCCCATCTCATTCGTTTTGAAACATCAATAAAAACCGTCAAGTGAACATGCCGGAGAGAGAGGGATGCGGATGCATATGACGCGTTTACTCGTGTTGGATACATTTTTTGCGGAAGCCCCGTCAACACTACTAGCAAAAATTCACGGAACTTGGCGCGAAAGTTAAGTTCTGTAAACCTGTCTCTGCGTGGACAATGTCTTCCATTAATAAGAAATGAACGAAAAAATTATGAAAGAACAATCATAAATGTGGTTCAATAATTTTAACTTCCACCGCCGCGCCGCGTCGTGCTGATCGCACTTTGTTTGGCGCAATGCGTGGAGTATTCCTACACTCTTGTAGGCGCTACGCCTTTCACGCCGATCGCTGCTGAACGCACTGTGTTTGACGCAATGCGTGAAGTATTCATGCAGTCTTGTAGGCACTATGCGTTACACGGCGACCGCTGCTGACCGCACTGTGTTTGACGCTATGCGTGAAGTATTCATGCAGTCTTGTAGGCGCTAATATATGTTACGTGCCAACCGCCGCGCCGAGGGCCTCTCCTTTTCATCTCAAGTCCTCGTCATCATTGCTCTCTGCGCTGCGCCGCTCCAGGCCAAATTGCGTGTTTGGTTTCTCTCTCAACTAGACTAATGAAAGGGCAGCCAACCTTCTGACACAAAAATGTCACTGACAAAATTCAGATTCCAATGTCAGACCAAAACGGCCAAGAATGTTCATAAATGAGCGTTCTGGCCAAATTGCGTGTTTGGTTTCTTTCATGACTCGACCAATTAAAGGTGCCGTCATTTGTTTCACCGCAAAACGACAAAATTAGAAATTACGATACTCACAGGTAATGCAAGATTTTGTCGCCTTTTCTCGTTTGCAATTTTATTTTTATACCTACACTTAAAAAAAATTGCAAAATTTGCCGCCCCCTAAATTTGACCCATGGGCCGCGGCCCATGTGGCCACCCCCTTAATCCGGCCTTGTTCAGGAGCCTAAAACTGTTTTCGTGCAACCGGTACGCCCCGCCAGACCTCCCTTTTTTCCCCGACCAAAATCCCCATCGAATGAGGAGGGTAGCAAATTTCTATTATTTGAGTTAAATGAATCTTCATGAGCTCTCGGTCCACCAGGAATCCCTGGGAGTCCCAGGAGGAAACGGCGCAGACGTGTCTTGAATGGTTGGCAACAAGGGAGTGGTGGAAGAGATCAGAAGGGGGTAACAGGCAATTGGATGTTACCGGTAAGTATAAATGTACATAGTATTATCGGTATGTGATATGTTACTATTATTGTGCATTACAATGAGTTTTAAATGCAAAGAGAAATTTACGAGTGGCGAGGACACCATTAATAATTTTCGAAACGTTTGACGACTGAGAAAGGATGTAAGATTCTGATTGTTAGGATTTTCCAGTTCTTGTGAAAGCTCGCAAACTTTTCATTCAACGGGCGGATCAAACTTAACAGAAAAAGACCGTCCAAAACGACCGTATTGAGGAAACTAAGACTTACAAATAAACAAGAGACTGTGCTGGATAGATTGACTTTGGAATGAAATTTTAAGACTGAGATTTCTTCCATCTATTTGTATTTTAACAATTCATCTCAATAAAGGCTATTAAATCAGCTTCAAAATACCAACATCTCACTAATCATTGAATTGAATTTGTCCTGTACAATATTAAAAGAATACCACCGATGACTTGATATCTATTGAACTAAGTTCAATGTGTCAAAAACAATAGGACGATGGCAGTTCCTAAAACTAGTTTTAACTGTTTTATGGAGGAGATTATTTTTCGGGCTGGTTACAGTCTCATTGAAAGAAAACACACTGATTTATATTTCAGAAATAGTTATGTGTATTTTATTTTCATTACATTTGAAACAGAGGAAATTAAAATGCATTGAAAGGCATTAAAATATTACAGATGGTTGAGAAAGAAAAAAATATACCTAGAAACAACAAAACAAAAAAGCTGATGAAAGCATTCTCAATTGAAATTTCTTGCCTCTAGCATCCTTGAAAAAAATTCAGCTTGAAAACTGGGCACCTATTAATGGCGCCAATAAAAAGAAAGAAAGTATGTTGATTATCCAATTGACAGCTCCTTTAAATAATTTTCAAATTTTTTAAATTTCAAATTCAAGCCGAAAAAATGCGAATCATGCAAGGTAAACTTTGTGGCACTTACCACTTTCAAAATTTAAGCAAAGTGATAAATTGGTCCATTAAATGAACTCATCTTACTTTTCACTACAGGCTAATAAACTGTACATTATTGCTCCCAATATAAGCAAATTTAGGAAATTAAAATAAATAAATAAATAAAGTTAAAAGGTATATTATTCAATAAAAATTGAGAGAGATCGTAAAAGAGGCCAAAAACAGGGTTAAGACTACTTATATTGCTTGCTCAAGCTGAAAATGGAGAATTCATTTGAAGATGGCAAATAACATGGAGGACAGGTTTCAAATTGAGCACTGCTTTTCTTGCATTTACTTCAACGTTTAGTAGGAGGAATTACACAGATTTTGTCTGAATGACGATGTTTCATTGTTTAAAATCTTGTTTTCTTTACTTGATTTTGAACAACCAATCTATTCTATCATAGAAAGGTTTAAGGTCATGACTGAAAACAGTGTATCCTAGTGTTGTTTCAGCAGACAACCAAGAAGCATGCATCTAAAACCAAAAGTTACAAAATCAACGCACAATTTTAACTTTAGCAAGTCAACCAAACAGTAATGAAATGGTGGATAGATTACATTGAACATCTATTTACGTTTGATGGGTGTTGACTGTGAACACTTCAACACTCAGGAGTTAGTTACCAAACTTTTTACATTTCTATATAATTTTCAGATAAATTTTGAGAAAAGAAGCAGAGTATATTGCTCGAAATTAGACCTGTCCACTAGGTTATTTTGGAGGCTTGAAAATAAATTATAAGTTCATAAATGGAGTTGAGTGTGTGAAACAGTCGGTTTAAATTTTCTACGTTAATTAAAATTGGTCTTTAATTCTTAATTTCAACTTTACAGATGAATAATATTTTGGTTTTAAGACTTTTTTATATGTAAAAATAAAAACAAAATTATCCACAAAAATTTGAAATACAGCTTCATTTAAAAACTCAAGGACACTGTTCGAACGAATTAGTTGAATTCAACAACTTCAATCTCTTGAAAAAATTCATAAGATAAAAAAAAATTAAAATATAAAAATTGAAAGTTTGAGCGCAAATAGCGTAAAATAAAAAAAAAAAAAAAAAACCTCAATGACCGGGGTAAATTATGAAAACTAAACAGAACAATAAAATGTGTAAATTATGCAGTGAGGTCATGAGATAGTAAAATACATCAGCTTTTTGGGTGCCTGAGTAAAACTTCCGCTCCATTGAAGCTATCAAGCACAAATTTTCTTTGAAAATGGAAAAAATATGTACCTCATAAGAAATAACAGGAGTAAAGATTTGATATCATGGAAACACTTTGGTACGGCTTGATCAGAAACTCGAAATTTCTAAGTACACACAAAAAGTGTTTTAAAACCTCTTGAAGCACCATTTTACACTTAGTATTTTGAGGCATAGTTTCTGTGGCACCATAAAAAGTCGACAGTCAAATCTTTTTTAAACTTCCTCATGAAAATATTAACAATGCTCAATCACAGCATATTTTTTGTATGTGCACGAATATGATAGACTGAAATTGAAATTTGTGCCTGGTATAGGTGGTATTGAATTTAGAGGATTTTCATTCCATCTTATTCAGAATTTTACACTTCAGAGGCACATTCTACTTAACTGGCCAAAATTTTTCATGACAGTGAGCCACTTACACTTGTTACAGAATCGTGTTTTGTTGGTTTAAGGTTATAGGGTAATAAAATTAAATAAGATGTGTACAAACTTTAAGTTTCTACATCCAATATTTACGTAAATATCCCCATAAAGAAACATACTGTGTGAAATCATGCACGGCGGTGGTGCATGCAAATGTTTCTTCCGCCTTGGTTTTACCTGCGTTTTACGTCGAGAAATCAGGATAAATGGAGTAATGGACTACATTTCGCAATTAGGAACTACAATATCTGGTTCATTCTTAAAAACACTTAAGTGCATAGGAAAATCTATGTTACATACATTGTTTCTAAACTGAGCCACAATTTATAGTTTCTTGTTGCAAAATGTGTGCATACCTTATGAATGAAACCAAGGCGGAAGAAACCATGGTATGCACTACCTTATTGGATGGTGACTTATACAATGTTTTTGATGAGCGATAACTCTATTCTTCTTTAACATGGGACCTTGGCATTTGAACAAATAGCTTAAAGCGTAAACTAAAAGCTTGAGTCATTGAAACACGATTCTATGCCAACCACCCCATTATAAAAAAATATCAGACAGATGACGACCAGAGGGAGTTGATCTAAGTTACACAAATATCAATGGAAAACCTGATGTTCCTCTAAAAGGTAGGATACCGGAGATAGAAAACCAAGTACATGGAAAAAGGTTCATAAATGACAATTCAGTTTATAATTATTTGGCATCACTTCCCTCAGAGCATTTCATCTTGAGAATATAGACTAACTTGGAGTTTAATTGCTCGGTCAGAGACTTTTAATGTGGCATAAAAAATTCCTGCCTCGCACAAAAATCACTGATAATTAGATCTACATTCTGAGATATGCATTTTGAAGCAGACCTGTGAGGATCTCTAGAGCATTGAGAGAACATTTTTGAGGCCATAGATTAAGGAAGTGCTCATTGACTATCGACAAAACACAGTGCCACCTAAAGGGATAATATCAACATCTATAATACACATGGCCTACACTAATGTTTGACCTACTCTGAGATGATTTGGAGAGATATAAAAAGATGAAACTTAACAGGTAATTCCATATTGAACAATTAGCAGCATGAAATAGATAAATGCATAATTATCATGATTATCTTTTCACAATTAGAATATGGTTACTCGGAAGAATAAGTTGTGAAAACACCCTCCAATAAGTGATGAGATAGCATAATACAAACCATTAGCTGTCTTAAAAAAATTTTGCTGAAATCAGACGCAAATGCTAAGTAGGTCAGAAGTACACTTTCTTTGAATTTAATGTACCTATTAAAATAATATCAAGCAGAAGTTACACAGTTAGGACAACTTCTTGGACTGAATGAACTGGGAGCATGTTGACTGTGCTAGCACTTGTCAACATTTTAACATACTTTAGGTTTAAAGCAATTTAAACTCTATTGACAGAGCTTTGAATACAGTTCAGATCAACATTTTGATGTTATCAAAATTCCAAAATGCATCAAGATCCGCATTACATAGGAAATAGAATCAAAGAATTACATCAGCGAAATTTTTATGGTTGTGAAAGTCTGCTCGATAGTTATCCATTGGCATTCTAACTTCAGCGGCTGCATTTCTCACATTCATTGTTGCAGCAGCAATATTAAGATTCAAGTAAAACAACCAAATGAAAACAAGAATATGAAATTCTACTGAACTGACAAAAAAACAACTGATCAATGATCAGACTGAAAGTATTATTGCCTCTTTCTGTTTTAAATTTCAAGCTTGTTATTGACGAAAAGTTCCTGTCCTTTAAATGTCTTTATGAACAAAGAAAATTTCACCAAAAACTAAGAATTCTTGAACAAGAGCAAATTGTTCTGAGACCTTAAATCAATATAAAAATGCAGAGTTCAGAGACCGAGACCGATATTGTTTCTGATTTTAAAATCTAAAATTTAATAGATAAATAATTTTTTTTCTTCACATAAATTCTGAGAGAAAATGCACTCTGACCTACACACTGAATAAAACAATAAAAAAAACAAACAAAAAATAAAAAATTATCTGCTGCGATTAAGGAACTTAACGCAGCGTTTTTACATTGAAATAAAGATACATATTCGAATTTTGGAGCTCAGAATGCTGGTGTACATAATAAGTTTTAAAGTCATATTTGATAGTCAGATACATGAGCTTAGGAGCTATAAGAGGAGAAAAAAATGATCATTCATAAATTTATGATCCTGGGTCCATGAAAAATCGAATATGTACCTTACATTTTGTAGTTTGTCTGCCCCCAACGATTGCTACATATTGAAAAAGTAATAATCTCACAAGAACATACAAAAAATAAATAACTATTGGCTCACAAATCAAATTAGGAAGATTCAACTTGTAATACTCTTTCATTTCAAATTAACTTTAACTTATCGGAAGACCTAATATATACAATGCTTTCACAAATAACGACATAAGATAAAAGAGATTATACTTTTTGAGCGGTTTTCATAAATTAACAAGTATGAACTGAATAAATCTTGGACATCACGCTAAATCTAAAACATATTCACACACAGGTTTCTGAGAAACAAAATGATGTGTCTTAATGAATAATATATTACAAAGCAATGACAATTGTGAAATAAGACCCTTAAAAATAATAGAGAACAATTACAAAATCAATAAAATAAAATAAATAAATATATAAATAATGTAATGTACAATAGTTAAGCATTAACAATCACTATCACAAAACAAAAAATTTTAAAATACAATAAAATCTGAAAAGTGTACAAAGAAATCTTATTTGACGCTACTATTTGTACACATAAATTACAAATGAGAAAAAAATAGAATTAAAGACTGGGAAGAGGGAAAAATATTCAAACAATTAAGAATATACGTTTCTTTGTTCCAAAAAATGAGAGTCCCTACTTCATAAATGATAAATTCATTTGTGTGTGAGAGAGATGTATGGACTTTTTATTTTTTTCATTTATTTCATCTTTCTTTTTCAATCTAATACGATAAGATTCATGGGCTCCTGTTGAAGTTATGGGGAAATAACTTTTCGAATTAAAGGGTCTTAAAATGGGTATGGCTTGTTTGGTAACAGAGAATTACTGTCAAAATGCAAACGGGCAAAAATTAAAATCGGTCTTCTTCTTCAATACTAAATATTCAGACACATTTCAGTACAACTTCTTTGCTCACTTGCCGTGACATTTGATATCACCCGTTTGTCACAAGTTGTTGGATGTTTTCCCCAAATATTTTTGCTGACAATCTTAAAACAACAAACTGGCTCATTTGGATGATACAATCAGAATGCCGAACGATCAACACAGTTAAAACACTGAAGCAATTCATAACACAGGAACAGGGTGAATTGCCACCAAAACATTATGCATAGTTGTTTTTTATCCTGTTAACCACTTCCAAAGTTTTCTTAATTTACTTTGTCCCTTCCGAGAAGATGTAAAAAAAGGAAAAAGAACCTTTACAGATAAAACAAATTTGACTGAAAACCTAAAATACAGATAATAGATAATAAAACATTTAGAAGAATAAATTGATAATTACTTGTTGAATAGAAAAAGGAAAAAAGAAAAAAAAGGCTTTCAACTTATTAGGGATAACGAAAAGAATGAAACTGAATAAGGGACCAGTGGGATGATTATTGGAATTGATAGACGAAGTAATAGACAAAGAGCAATCGTATTTGTTGAAACGGGAGGTTGTCATGGACTAAGGGAGAAAATGATGGACTGACTACAGCGTCTTTTGTCTGTTGCTGTTATTTAGTGTTTTACTTAGTTCCTTTGTCCATTGGAACCACCCGCTTCCACCAATAGAATCGCTCCATTTTCCCATCTTCTTCTTTGCTTCATTGCTTTGTCTATCAATTTCAATAATGAGCCCACCAGTTTAATTTAAAATCAAAGTAAGGAAACAAACAATTAAAACTAGATTAATTTTCAGGAACTAAATAAAATAATTGAGGATGCTAAAGTTCCATTCCATTCACTGGACTGCATTAGAGCGGAGAGAGGGGAAGAGAGGGGGGCCTCTTTTTTATAAGGAAACTGGTGTTTGCTTCCTAGTGAAAGTTTGACAGGATTTTCTATGAGAAAAACAAATGGACTTCATTTTGCAATTAGGAACTAAAATTTCTATCTCGTCTGTAAAAGCATTTACCTACGACTGCATATGGAAGCAAATGGCACATTCGTTCTTTCTACGTAAAATGAACCAGCAACAATAGTTCCTACTTGTAAAATGCAAACCAAATTATCCTCCAAATTTTCAAATAACGATTAAGCAAGGTTTAAGCCCTTCGACCTAGCTTCATAAAAATGCCAATTTTTCCGAACTGAGAATAAAATTTAAGCATATAAATTTTGAAATGGATCCTTGCTAGGGATTAAAATGATTTGCCTCTGCAAAAAATACAAAATAAGGAGGGAAAAATGTCATGTATTTTACAAGCTTTCTGTTTTAGCTTTTTACCACCTTAATATTTGCAAAATCTCCAATATTTTTTCTTCTGTACTTTGTAATAAGCGTAGAGGTAAATTATTTTGATCCCTTTCAAAGATCAATTTTAAATATGTTCTCTTGAATTTAACTGCCGTTTCAATAAAATTGTACTTCTTATGAAGCTAAATTGAAGATCCCCTTAAAAATTGCAAGATCACAATGCATACCTTATGGGGCTTCCTGCAGAAAGGAACAACAATGATTTCAGTCCTAAGAAAGGAAGCAAACCATCTCTTTGATTCAATGATAAGAAAAATTTAAAAAAAAAAAAAAAAAAAAAAAAAAAAAAAAAAAATTATACAATAATTAAGGAACAATTTACGGCATTCTGAAGAATTCCAGAACATTAGACCCAGACAATGAGTCACTGCAAATATAGAAACATGTATCCGAGTTACCTCTCACACTTCCAGGTAAGTTCCTGATTTAAACAAAAAAAAAGTTGATCCACACTGATTAGTTTCTTCATGACTAACTATTGAGACACAATTATTCCTTTAATTTCAAGCGATCAGAATCAATTGAAATGAGTTTGCAGTGAAACAAAAAAACACCGTCTGCTCAGGGTATTTTGGATTTTGTTTCCAACTAGATTGAGTACAAAGGACAAAAAAAATTTGGTCTAAATAATGTATCTTAGAAACTAATTCTAGCTCATAATAGACAGTTAAATAACTCATTATTTTGCAGTAGTGAATTCTGTTTCAGGATGTAACTAAACAAAAAAAAAAAATTGGAATCTCTACTTGTAACTACACACTCGATGAAAAATAACAATTACGTATTTTGTGCTTAAAGCAATTTGGAGTAAAATTTTTACAGTCCTAGAAGAGGGGTGAGGTCTGGTCAGATATACTTTCACTACCATCTGATTGCAGTCAAACAAAAGGAATTTCAGAGTCAGTCCTGACCAACTTATCCTGAGACAAATAAATTTTTTTCAAAAAATAAAATTGGGAGATTGACATAGCAATGAATCCAGCTAGGCTACTAACATTTATGGAAAAAGATAATGCTGACTGATTAGATTCACTCGCACAAAAACTAATGTTCAGCTCATCGAATCAAGCAAGTTAAACAGAGTCTTGAGGAGGAAATACAATCGTCATGACAGAAAGCACCACATTTTTGACAAACCACCATCGCATTCAGGTTACAAGAACAGCTGTCCACAGATTGCTGTTTACTGTAAATGTTCTGAACTGGAGAATCAGCACCGTTGAAGCGCTCTCTGGTTATAGCCTGAAACAAAGAAGGTAGCGTTAGGCTCGACTCTTTGGAAACTCCATGCAAAGCTTCGTTAACTCTGTCCCTGTCTTATGAGCTCTTTAGTTGTTACCATTTTCCTGTTTCCTTACACCATGACCGAGGGAAAATGTTGGATTTTAAAATTAGGGTGTAAAATCTAAAAATTTGAATGATGATAAGATCGATACAAGCACGAGCCTTTAAAAATGAATATAATAAATTATGAGGCAAAAATAGAAACATACAACAATGAAATAATGAATTTCAGAATGTGTACAAGTAGGTCTTTCTTGCTATTAATATTCGTGTGCTAGGTTGAGGCTATCATAATTAGAGTCAAATAAGAATTTGGTCAACTTTAAAAGCACACAATTTACACAAATCCTCGTACATTGTAACAAATTTTTCATATATCTTTTTAAGTTTTAAGCTAACAGTCAGTGCTAGAGAGAAAGATCCCAGAGTATTCTAAAATCATTAGCGAAGGAAATGGCAGTTAGTCAGTGAAAGTCTTATTTTAAGGTATGTAATATGAATGCAGTTTCAGCCAAAATATGTAGTGTACTGAATGTACAAGACAGCCTTAATAATTTTGATAGAAGTGTTGAAGGGCTTCTTTCATTAAATATCCTTCCAAACATTAAAAAATAAAATGAAGGAAAAGATGCTCGCTTTGTTGCTCAATAAAATAGTGAAATAAACAATACATGTCAAGCTTTGAAACGCAATTTCTTTAATTCATTTTGGCTTGCTTTATGGAGTATTATGGTAGACACCATGCACCTCCTATCTTGCCTGATGAGTTTATATTGACAACCCATTTTAAAGTCTCTGGGCAAAAAAAGAAAAAAAGAGGAGTTCATTGGGGAGGAGGAAGGTAAATACAGCTATACCCTGATTATCTGACCACTAGTTATGCGACGTAATTGAATTGAGTTTTTGATCCAAAAGTAAGTTAATCGAAACGAAAAAACCAGTTTTTTTTGCACAAAAATTGAATAAAAATGTGGTTCTTAGCGTTTTTTCCGATTAAATAACAATGATTTACAATTCTGGTAGAAAATTGGCAAAGACTGTGCATATTGGTTATATGAGGAGCCTAAAATGACATTTTTTCAGTCTTATCTTTGTGATTTTGATTATCAAACTTTTCCGATGTGTAATACAGCTCTCACTACAAATTGTCGGATAATTGAGCTGTACAATTAGCTTTCACTAAGCATTTCCGGTGAAGAGGGTCAACTGATTATCTTTCAACCGAGAGATTTTTCGCTGAATTTCAGAACGAATATTTGCTTTACTTGATTCATTCATTTTCAGTCCCTAGCTATACTCTAATTTGCATTTCTTCATAGAGCATCAGGGAGGAAAATAAAAAAATAAGATGTCTCAGAGGTTGCTATTGTGTAGTACAAAACATAAAAGGAAAATGTTGACTTTCAAAATACTTGTCCAAAAGGAAGGAGCAGGCTTGGTTTTTCAGGTCTAAGTACTTGAGAAGAGTGCATCAATATAGCTCCTTTTCTTAGCCTGTCAGAGCAAATGTTTACAAGTGTAAGCTTAGAAATGACCACCTCTGATTTAATTTATTTTGCAACAAATTATAGCTCAAGCACAACTGGTTGAAAGGAGTTTTTCAGTGTTTAAAAAATGGGTCTCTGAGATCCCACCTGTACTATTAGCATTGAATTTATCCCAAAACTATTATCATGATGTACGTTCTGTAATTCTCCACCATCAAACATACTCACCAATACATACATATATATTCAATTCTCATGCCACAAATGATGATCAGGAGACAATTTATTGGGGATTTCAGGTGCCCATTTGCAAATACTAAAAAGCATCCATCAATCAGCTGTAGTTGAAATATTTTCGAGGTCAAACCACATCAAAATTAGAAGCAGCAACTCCTGAGTTTGAACCTGATTGGTTAATTGAGGCTCCACAAAAATTAGTGCATACATCATTTAGCCGACATTTCAAAAGTTTGAAATATCCTTTTAAAAAAACTGCTCTGACTTAAATCACTCTAGAGTGTGTTAAGTATTATTAGACGAACTTTCAGATTTTTTTGGAAATTTGAAGCTCTGACTTAAATCACTCTAGAGTGTGTTAAGTATTATTAGACGAACTTTCAGATTTTTTTGGAAATTTGAATGAACTGTAAACTAACTTTGAGCATGCTAAAAAAGTAAAATAAAAATAACTAAATAAACAAATAGAAAAATAGAGAAACTTTTAGATAAATAATAGAAAAGAAAATACAAGATAAAATAGATATAAAAATAAAGAAAATAAGGGAGAGCATAAAAAAAAATAAATGTTCAAAAATAAATAAACATAATATGCAGCATAAATAGTGTAAAAATAGATTAATAAAATAGGAAATAGGAGTCAAAATATTGGAAGAATAAATTAAAGTTAGATACATGAAGAGATAAGTAGTAATCTACCTAATATATCAAGCTCATCTTTCTTGAGGTATGTTCAAATTGTAACTACTGTATAAAGCGAGAGATGAATGCTTTCAGTATTCCTAATCTGGTGAATTGAATTGAGGATCACCTGTCAACCTGACAACCGTAAAAGGAATTATGCAGTTCTTAGGAAACATTAAATCGGGGGAATGTACCTGAATGCCGACGCTGGCAGGTCGGTTTCTGGCGACACTGGAGACAGGTAGTTTAATGTTGGCTGGTGGAGCGCTCGAAGGTCTGCGGACACCACTTAGGCCAGTCCCTCTTTGAACCAATAAAAATTGTCCTCCATCAGTCATCTGAATTTCATATATATTTCAGTATATTCAGTAAGATATTCCAGAAAGACATTCAGCACATTTCAGTACATTCAGCAGAACAATCACAACTGAGAAATCAATAGTCGGCTCATGGGCTTGGTTTTTATACAAAATATAAGCAGATGACCGATTTACGACAAGCAACCGAGAGTTGTACACAAGTAGAAATTCATTATTTCAACTTCCAGAAAGATTATGAATTTGACATTTGTTTAAAAGTCGAAAAAAATGTCAAAACTTATGTGAACTCCTTATGTTCACGATAAACAACATTTAGGTGAATAAGGGGAGACTAATCTGAGAATTAAATGGATATACGTATTTTGTAATATTGGCATTTTAAGACAGAGAAAAGATAGGATTATTCTGTTGAGTAAGAGGATTTTACGATAGATAGAAAGAAAATGCACCACAAAGAAAGTACTTGTCAAAACTAAAATTGAAGGCTGATCATTAGATTTGAAATAGATAAAGCTTCTTGTCAACACTTCCTACAGGAAAAACTAGTTTGCTACCTCCTTCAGGCTAAATAATACATGACAATAAATGAAGCTGTAATATTACCTCAGGGGTATTAACAGGAGGCAAAACAGCCATGGTGACCGGTATTCCTTGCGATGATGTAAAAACATGCTTGACAAGGACTGGTGGGGTCGGGAGGCCTCGAACTGGCTTAGTAGTTTGAACTCCAGGCCTGTTCACTTTGGAGGGCAGCACACCACTGATCATGGAATCAATAAAGCAGTGTATGATTAAAATCACAAAAAAAAAAAAAAAAAAAAAAAAAAAAAAAAAAAAAAAAAGCGGGGAAAACCCCTGATACGTCCACCAGACTTCAGTGGAAATTAAATTACAAAATTGACAAACATAAATGGTTTTCATGAACATCTAATCATTAAGCAAAGAGTATTGGTATACTCAGAGATAGCTCTCCTGCCCTGGTAGGTGTGAGAAGGTATTTTGAAGTATTTGAATCAAAAGAAACTATCTCCATTGTGACATGGGCTCTGTCATGCATGTATTCTTGCGAATCTGAAGGCTTAAGTGACCAGGAGAAAGTTCCTTCAGATTTAAATACGTCCTTTTGTGAGGACACTGGGACATTGTGGTAATTTTCACAATAACACCAATACTGAATTTGTGCAGGGAGTTATGTAAATCATAACGCCATGGTGTTGTAATGATAAATTTGATATAGGGAGCCGAGGCTATTTGATCATTGCAATTATCTTTAAGGCAATAGAAAGAAGCACTACATCAAGCAACAAAAGCTACAAAACAAAGTGAAGAGACAAACTTGTTTCAACACGAACTTGTTTCAGACAAAACTTTATTTCTTCATTTTGGTTTGTGGCTCATAAAAATTGATGTAAAACTCCTTTCCATTGCCTTGAAAATGATCGTAATGATTGAAAAGCTTCAACATCTAAAATAAATATATTATTATGACACCTTGGCGTTACATAAATTCTTACACACAGTCATGCAAACTGTATGGCAGCATGCAAGCAAGTTTGAATAGTTCTTGAGCTATCCAGACTCAATGCCAAAACAGTTTTCACATAATTACTTGGAGATATTATGCAGGGATTAATTGGATGTATTTATGCTAAAAGAACTATATGCATAGGATTTCTACGCAAAATAGTTCCTTATAGCATCAATTAGGATTTTTCGGAATCAAGGAAGAGACGCTTTAATCAGAGTGCTGACTTATACGATAACAGTCTAAACAAACAAATGATAGCACAGTTCCTTTCAGTCACTCTGACCTCACCAAGGGTGCCTACTGGAATCAGCTGGCGAAATATCAGTGCTTCTTCAATACTCATTCAGCACTTCCCCAAAATATTCAGGACCTCCTCAATAGAAAACATCAGTACTTATCCAGTATCTCTACGTGAAGAAATTCGGGAAAGTTCCAGGATTCGAAAAATTTCCGAAATTTGAAACTCTGGCGCAAATTGTGACAAAATGACACAGCCACAAGATTCGAAGCTCGTTGGGGGCCTAAAGATCGAATGGCTGTACAATGATTAGCAGGCAAATGCTGCACTAAGAATCAATGCACAAGCAATTTCATACTTTCCAGGCTACTTTAAAAATATGCAGGGCATGAAACCAAAATTTCCAGACCTTCTTGCGATATTTCAATAATATTCAGAACTTATGGAGCGTTCTGAAAAAATCAGTGTATTTCCAGACCGGTAGACACTCTGCCTTACCTTTCATGTAAGTTAGAGATGGACACCCAACCTTAAGAAGTTCTGTGTCTTACGGTGATGCTAAAGGTTTTCGTTCGACAAAGAGAGTCTCTTTGCTAGGCAGTTCATTTGACTGCTTTCCTGTGTCAGATCTTCAGCTCAAAAGAGGGAATCATTTTCTGTAATAATTTGTAATCTCCTTTAAAGAAAATGGTAGCATCTATTCATGATGAGGATAGAATTGCGCACCTTGACCTGTTCATATTTTTGTTGCAATGCAGGTGATATTATTGCTAGGAATAAATGCTGGATACATACATAAAACTCATGAGGGCAGAAATGCACCAAAACTTTAAGTCTCAGAATCAAATGAAAGAAACCTTATGAAAATAAGCTTAACATACGTTTTCACACCCTCTTTGCTGAGAAGGGTGGATGGAGGAGGCTTCAACTGTGAGCGCAACTGATCTCTGTTTGGACTGTTCTGAATGACTGCTTGGCATATTTGATAACTCCTTTCTAAATTGACAGCTCCAGGAGGAGGTTTGTTTGATGTGCCTCGAGACCCTCGACTCGGACCTCCCGCCTGAAAGAGAAATCTTGACTAAAATACAGGTTGAAACAGAGAAAAACACCAAGTCTCACAGAATTTTCTATTTGCTTAACTTCCAAGTTCACATGTTTCTTACTTATTATTTTACTCGAGCAGCTAGAATTGCAGCAATTACACTAAAGCATAATATCATTCTACATAAATTTATCGTACATCAAATTCTGGGGAGAGAAGAATGCGAATGGGATCCAAGAAGGAATTCTTCACATGCCAAATCTGGGAAGATTTATTTATTAATTTTTTTTTTTTTTTAACATCATAAGAACTTCATTATTTTAAAGGGCTGCTGTCATCAGATCTGAAATTGAGAAAATTCCTCTCCTTCTACCCAAAAAATTGTAAGCTTTAATTGAAAATCCCAACAAATTTGGAAAAACAAAATCTCTCACAAGGACTTAGAAAAAAATTCCAAACTGATATTACTTACAAATAAAACTGAAATAAAATAACAGAGCAAAAAAGCAAAATATAAAAGCAAAAAAAAAAAAAACAAAATCTGTCAAGGACTGATTCCTGAATGAGGGGGAGGGGACCACGACACTGTGAAACTGTTACTCTACATTTTTTAAACAAATTAAAGAGGAAGAATAATAAAATGAGATTGTAAAAGAAAAAATGAGCTCTGGAAAAAAAAGAAAAAATGAGCTCTGGAAAAAAAAGAAAAAAGAAAACCTGACATTGCCCCCTTTTAGGGGATTAATTCGAATTTCAAGAAAATTCTTGCGGACAATCGAGAAATATGATGAGATCGTTTTCAACAACTCCGTATTAAGAGACTTCAAGGATCACAGTGACTGAAAAGCTTAAAGGGGGTGTTTTTCAAGCTCTATAAGCTAGGAGAAAATTAAATTTAAAGATTGGCGAAATTTGCAGTTTGATCCTCTTCAGTAAATAGCCANGCCCCCCCCCCCCCCCCCCCCCTCAAAAAAAAGCAAGCAAAGACACCAGTGGCGTGGTGTGAATGATCGATTATCGATATCTCGCCATTTGAAGCTATGGTGAAGAATCGATTACTTAGGTGTTCGCTGCGAACACCCTGATAATCGATCTTTTTTCATAGGTTTGAGTGGCGTATCAATCGATATATCGCAAAGCACGCCACGCTACTGAAAGACACTAGAAAATACCTTTACATTTGGTTTTGAAGGAATCGATGGAATTGCTCTGACAGCAGTGACAGGCGTGCTGGTGGATAACGCGAGGTATGGGAGCGCTGGTGAGCTGACCATGTTAGGTGTGGAGGGGACGGCAACAGCAGAAACAGGGGGTAAAGGAGGGGCAGCAACAGACGGCAGACACACTATCGTTGTTGGTGCGATAACCGCTCCACTACTTTCCACTGTTGAAGATACTTGATTGTCAACTTCTGGTGTCAAAGTAACTAATAATTAACAGAGAAAAAGAGTCATCAAAAACAAAGTAACCAAAGAAAGACATTGGAGTCATTAAATTTTTTGAAGTTGTGAGAATGAGACCGATGATTAGTTATTAACAAATTAAGAGGTAGCAGAAATGATGATGCTACTTGAATTGGACTGCATTTTGCAATTTGGAGCTATAAATTATGACTCATCTGAGAAAACACTTATGTGCATAGGGAAACTATTGGCACAGATGTTGTTTTTAAACCGGGCTGAAATTTATAGTTCTTAATTGCAAAATGTTGTCCAATTGCATTTTGCATAAAGGAACCAAGGGCATTCCAAAGTCGCTAAGATTGTGCGACTTTTATTATTCCTTCCAAATATAATTTGATCATCTAGATTTTTATCTTTACTCCCAATAAGCTATACATTCAAGCTAAAAATTTCCTTAGTAAACTTGATTTTTTATTTTACATAATTTCAGTAATTTTATCGCAAAGAATCCTAGCAACATTGGGATGCTCCTGGTTCCTCTTTGCAAAATGCAATCCACATGGTCTACTTAACATCTTTTTTTGAGCTGAAAATTAGTCATTCTGAGCACCTCTGATGGACTCCATTTTTTATTAAAAAAAAACCCTGATTCTTCACCAACTTTGCCTGACTTGATTTAAAAATTTTCTGACTTATTGTGGACTAACCCTAACTTCCAATAGAAGTTGCTTGTGCCCATTTTTTGTGGGCGACTTTGCCAGGAGGAAGCTGACAATGATATTAAAAAGTATTTAGATGTGGTTCTTGGTAGAGGCCGATCCTCAGGCATAAACAGCACTAGTTTCCATTTTAGCAATTGAGCATTCGGCCACATTGGGCGCATTAATCAAAAGTTTTCAAAGATGAGAAAACTTCTGAGCCATAAACATAATTTTATGACTGTCTAAGATCGAGTAAAATTTCCTGACTTTTTCAGGAAGTTGCCTCCTAGACACCACAGTTCAGTCTGAATTTTATTTTTTGCAGCTAAACAGCTAGTGACCTTATACAGATACACAACTTGGGGGATGAGTGGGCATGAAATGAGGAAAAGAAATTTTACGTCTAAAAAGAACTGGTGTCTCTTATTTTTGAGTTTTGCAATATGTGAGTTAGTCAACCCCTAAACAGTTTTGATGCTGTCTCTGAACGCCCTTTTTATAAAAGAGTTTTTTTTTTTTTTAATTTTTTTTTTTACACTGATTATTCCTCATAATTTTTTTTGGAAATACCCGATTTCATACATTTTTCAGAAGTTCTTGAGGGGAGATGATCTTACACAGTCTGCTTCTGCAATTATTTTCAAGATAATTAATTTAGATAAAAGGACAAAACTGACTGCAAAGCGATCAAACAATTAGGTAAATCACTCACCTTCTAATTCAAGTTTAACATGGCCAGGGTAAGGAACTGCGTTAGGTGGGTTTTGTGAATTTGTTGAGGGTTCTGACTTGTCAAAGTCAGACCACTCACAGGTGGGTGCTGGTAGAGAGCTTTCTTCTAAACGAACCTCTAGTTCCTCTTGCATGGGTATGACAGCTACTTCTTCTTGTTTCTGTACAATATAGAGGAGGAAGGTAAATTTGATGATAGATATTTTTATTAAGGACACTACTTATTAAAAAGTGACAAACATTGAAAAAAGTTTGTCTCCGTTTCCTCATCTTACACTTGTCACTTGAAAAATCTCGTCCATACGACTGAAGACATTGAGACGGATAAACTCATTTCCTGCATTATTTCTACTTTGTCTATCTTATTGAAAATATTTAAATTTTTGGCAAGCCTGTTTTTTTCTTTTTTTTTTCTTTTTGTACAGCAATATTCAATGTGACAAAGTTCCTATTCATTTCATAAACTGCAGCAAATTAGCTTTGCTTTTTCGTGTTAGAGTTTCAACTGAATAACACTGGAACATTGAGAGGAATATTCTAGGATTTTGAAAATTTGAGATGTACCATTTCTTATGACAGGAAAAAATATAAAAAATTCAACCCTAACCAGGCATGGGAAGGGGTGCAGGGGACTTCCCCCTTTTGATACTCTTGGAAGTGGCCCTTGAAAACCTTTTAAGATACTCTATTTTCTATGAGCTCAATTGAAGATTCTAATCTTTGGCGAGAATATTAGTTGAAGCTGGGGTCGATAATATTTACCATCATACGAGCCAAACTAGCACCAAAATTTTGGAAAGCCTTTGGATATTTTTCCTTTTTTCTTTGGCGATGCCCTGCATTGAATGGTAAAATAAGCAATGATTAAGCCCTTCTCACTACCGTTTAAAATTTTGTATCCTACCAGTCAACGAAAAAACCTGATGACAAGAAAAAATTAAAAATCATCACCTTTTGTAGTGGACTTTTTTTTTTGGCTAACGTGAAATTCTGGAGAGCAGAGAACTTTATCAATCCCTGAGTTAGAGTGTCTCACTTGACGATCTTGAAGGTACCCACTTTATACATTCCAATTTCATTTGAATCTTTTAAAATGACCAATGCAGAGCCTACGCTAAACCTATTCTTGTGATGTTAATATTTTATAATTGAAAAACACCAAAATATAAGATAAAGGAAACAGCAATTGAAAAAGATACTCACTCCTTCCACCTGTAGAGTCAAAGGTTTGTCTGTACTCGAGTCGACTCCGTCCCACACCGCGGAAGTATCATCTTTCTGAGATGTTTCCAAAGGGTGATCTACATGCGGATCAGATTCACTGGTGGCACTATTTTCAGAGGTTTCCTCTTTAAAATTTACAGGTTCACTTGGTGACAGATGCATTACTGGAGATGGATGTGATGCAGAGGGTGCAGGAATATTTACTGCAGACTCTTGGAGGTTGATTTCGCCCACAACTGGGCTACTAGGGGTGTTTTTTGAACTTGTTAGCGATTCGATAGGCTCTGAATCAACAAAAGCAGGGTGTTCAGAATTGCTTTCAGATAAGGCTTGTGGAGAGGTATTTGTAACACTTGATGTCTCATCATCAAGCGTGTTTTCTGCTCTTGTGAGCTCCAAGTTTTCCTCCAGCGTAGGGCTTGGATGTGGACTTCCATTCACATTTGCAGCATTCTCTGGTTTACTCATTTCTTCTGAATCGTCCTGCGAAGGAGGATCGTCGAGTTTTTGAGGACTGCTTGACTCTTGAGATAGGGTCTGGTTGTCTGTGAAAGATTCAGAAGTCTCTTTACTTTCAGATGGTACTTCCTCCTTCCGAAAATTTTCCTCAGGGATTGGCGATTCTAAATTTTGATTATCAGAGGAATTTTGTGACCTAATGTCATCATCTTCGTCGATTCCTGATTTCATCAAAGACGGAGAGACACATAAGGTTTCTGGATGTGAATCTGGAAAAAAAAGGCGACAATTTTCTAAAGGCTATAACTCCACAGAAGGGATGCAGTGTGCCAAGGCTCATGTACAGGAAGGAATCACAACTATGGGCATGAACATTACAAACATCAATTTGTAACTGTTGGAACCCAGTATTAGTTCCATTGATAGTAACATCTACTAGAGACCCCTTGAAAAGCATTCAATTGGGTAAAAAAAGCCATGAGAATATATGGTCAGCTAAGGAAAGTCCGATTCTAAGGTACCGTTTCTCATCAAATATTAACTAAGAGAAAACCGTTTTGGCCTTCAAAAAAAACTTGATGGCCCCCAGATATGGATTCAGCTGGCCAAATAGTCCGTAAATTTCTTGGAAAGATTCGAACACTGGGTGATTTATGAACTCAAACCAGAAATTTTTAACACATTTTACAAATTTTGAAATAAAAAAGGATTGTATATGTACAAATCTTACTGAATTTTAAAATTAGTCACAAGACAAAATTCTGTCTCCTGATTGATCAGAAAGCTTGTTGCGTCTTGACCAATCCAAGCCCTCCATAAGACTGACCAAGATAGGGATGAGATATATTCTCTAAAAGAAAAGGGAGAGAGAGGGAAAAAAAAATCTAAAAGAAAACTGAAAATACTGTAGATGAAGCAGGAAAAGGGCTAACACATAATTTAATGTGTCAGTTACAAAAGGGGCTCAGGTGCCAAAAATGAGAATTCGAGAAAAATGGTAACAACTGTTTCAATTGACCCCTTGTAAATCTCAGAGCTATGAAATATTAAAGTGATGAATTAATTAATCACATTATTAATTAATCTGCGATTTAAAACGGGCTGGTTCATACAGTTTCTACTGTTTTTCCGTATTTTCATAACTGGCGCTTGAGCCCTTCTGTAACGACTGATTCAATTCTGCTTTTGAAGCATCCGAGAAAACATAAACGATTAACTGCAAAAATACCTGGTAAGTCAGTTCCAGTGCTATTTGTACTTGAGTCTGTGACAGGTTCCATTGTAGGATTATGTGGAAGGTCCATCTGGTTCGTTGTTATCGTGCATGAATTACATTCATCGGGAAAAAATGTTGAGCTCTTTGTATTTGACTCACTGGCATCTGTTAGGATTGCCTGTAAAGAAAAGAAATTTACATCAAATGAAAATATGCAACGGGTAGAAACGTGTGATAAGAGATTGAGTTGCGTACACTTTAAATCTCATTTTCTGTAAATTTAAATCTGAGAATTTTAGGTCACATTCATATGCAGGCAGTTACCCCGCATTCATAGAAACCGAATTCTCAGTTATTGATGACTTTTTTAGGATTCAGGATTTATTAAAAATTTTCTACCCCAAGTCTACTGCTTACTCAAGACAGGTCTTAAGAACCGGAAAAAATCATGGTTGTTTTAATAACTCGCTGATGTGTAAATGAGACGTATATAAGTAGACAGCTTGGTAGTTGCAACTCGAGTGGATTACCCCACTTACATTTCCAAAACAGTTGTTGCCATGAATTGTAGGAATTGCTTCACATTGCTTTTCAGTGCTTCTTCATGAATGAGCTACCACTCTCCCATTTGTTCCAGCATTTCATTTGGTGAAATGCACCGGGGTATATACACCTACAGGTGACAGAATGCAGCTTGTTCGCTTGATTTCTTTGTTGCCTAATACCACCTTCACAGAAAAGGCATATTTTCCATGGTGCCGAAGGCAATATACAATCAAAAAGTAAGGGGAGTGACTGCATTAAAGAAAAACAATTAATAGGACAAAATAGGTACCTCTTGTTGGACAGAGTCTGCTACTTTATCGTTGTCAGCTTCGACAAAATCCACACATGATACTGTAGTTTCCATGACTAGTTCTTCGCTGATTTTTGTTTCCACAGGGATTGATTCCTCAGACTTCACAACAGGATCCTCATTAGAAACGGCGAATCCATTGGAGGGCGAAGGTAATAGCACCAAACTTGTCGTCTCACTGGTTTCAACAATTTTTTCTTCCTCAGATTTACTCTGAGGAGGACAAGTGTCTGTAGAGGAGTCTTGGACTGTGGACACATCTTCTGCTGCTGTTAAACCAAGGCAGTTTGCTTCCGAGACTGGACACAATAAATTGTCCTTATCTCCTCCACTTGTATCAGCAAGGGAAGATTCATTTTCAGACTCATTGTAATCTGCAGAGGGATCAACGTAGATGAAGTCATCTGAGTCATGACCTTGGAGGTCCTCAGATTTCATCTCCATCGGAGGGGCGTTGAACACTTCCTCTGATGGTATTATACATGTATACTCCGAGGCAGCCCCCACAACCATGGAACATTTTTCAACCGTAGAGATATTCGAAGGAATAACAGGAGACACACTGGCTACAGGACTTGTTGTTATGATTCCGTCGCTTGAAAATTCTACCTGCAATGAACTGCGACAGGGCGAAGAGGAATCTACCTGATCCCTGTCCAATTCGGTCACATGGTTTGATACAGTTGCTGAAGTTTGAGTGTGAGCAGCATCTGAAATAGAAGGATAGGTTTAAAAATTATTTAGTATATGTCTGCATGAAAAGTTCTCAACATATTAGGTATCGTTGAAAATTATCATTTCTTTAATCGATATATAACCTCCTGTTTCAGAGAAAAGCTACATGAATTGACCTCGTACTTCAAAAACGAAAAGCTTTCTAGCTTCCAATTTTTTCTATTGTTAAAAAAACCTTTCAAGAGTTGATGCGATCATGGAAGTGGTGTGAGCATTCGTTTTGGGATTAAGAGGGCCACACATTCTGTAAAAGTTCCTCCTCCAAGTGCCTACTTAGTCTTCTTGCTATTAATTTAAGAAATCTCACCTGACTTGCTCCTCTTTGGTTGCTCCTCCAAGTCATGATCTTCAGCTTCTCGTTTTCCACGATATGATGATAACGCCCTTGTTACAGCTCCTTCTCCTCGAAGTCTCGCTGCAGGTGGACGGACTTTGATGGTTGCTTTGAGAGAAGATTTTGGTGCTGTCCATTCGGAAGCGGTGACAACTGATAGAGCTGCTGTGCTCGTTGCTGTGTGAAGCGCTGAGGTGTTGCTCTCACCCCAAATGGGCTCAAAATGTTTCAGCTAGAAAAACAAAAAATTAACTTTAAGAACAGAGAGAACTTTAAAACCTGTGCAGAATGATCCAAACTTACTAAAAGACCAAGAATGGATTCAAGATTAAAAGAGAGGCAGCAACAGCCGAAAATCCAGCGGAAATTATTATGTGTTCTTTAATTCCAGGATTTTGGGTTTGAGGTACAGCTACACACTTGTACTGGCTCTGTTTGGTAAAATATTTGCCGTTAGGTCTACATGGGAATAGTGCTTGGAAAATATGATACACCTAGCAAAATCCAGGCAGGGCCGGATAAGGCCCTCAACGCTACTCCTTCTTTCTTAAAGTTTTTAATAAAGGGAGAAAATAGCAGTTGATATACATTTTTGATATGCTGAATAAAAATTACGAAATCTTACCTTCCAAGGATCCAATTTACTTTTTTCTTTTTCAGCTTCTAACTTTAGTTTCTGTTGATTTTCAGGAGTGAATTCTCCTTCCGCCAACCTCTCTCTCCATTGTTGAAGGGCTCTTGCAAAAAATTCATTGTTCAATCCACTTGCACTTAACCTATCAAAAACGTTCAAACAGTGTGATTGAGAATCAAGAATGAAGGAAACATTTCAAAAAAGATTTTGGAAATTTGGAAATCATTTGATGACCAAGACGGATAAAAATCTATCCTGAAAATGCGCTGAAAAACGGCTTTCAGAAATTTTTAATCATACGAGAACTATAAATACAAGCTCAAGATTAAAGAAATGAACCTAGAACTAGTAACTGTTAAATGTAACAATGAAATGGAAGAAGACTATGATGTTATGGCAGAGACTGGATACAGGATACATCTTTACTAACAGTATTTAAGGTGTGTTAATATTACTGCGTTTAAAAATTCCAGCTTTACTAAAAGGACTTGATAAATGTATACATTATTTTATCAAGCAACTACGCATGGAAAAATAAAATTGAGTATTGGAGTTAAAAGGAAGAGAGTGTAAGATTTTTACCTGAAAGTGGAGTCGGAGTGGTAGGTTCGGTCAACATGAGGGAGAAGCTGAACCAATTTGCACTGGTACAATGGTGGTAATGATGCAAACGTGTGCTTGTTGAGGAGAAACCGTAAATTGGTTTGAACTAAAATTGAGTCAGGTGTTTCCAAATCAATGGAACCTTCCCTTGTTTGAAGCTGCTCCAACTGAGCAGCAGGAGAGAGCTTCTTGTTTGAACGCTTCCTTGGTTTCAGTGTGAAGCCAGGAATTGAGTTGAGTACCTCCATCATTGTTGCGGGTCTTACTCGGCTTTCCACCTCTTCTTCCACTGCAAGTACCAAACAAAATATTAAGGAATCAGTTACCTAATATTTCATCTATAAAAATGGTAATGATAATTATTATTCTAAATATTGATTTTATTACCATTTTCCCTACTGTTGCTACATGATGTTCTATTTGTACAGACTAGCTACTCATTGTTGATGGATACCTGCAGGGTGTCTACTGGCTCTTAAAAAAAAACAATTATGTACATTTTATGTATTTTTTAAGTATGATAAGAAAAAATTATGTATTTTTTATGTATGACCACAACAAAATTAGCATATTTTCTCTACTTACTTTTTTACTAATCGTTTGTGCGATTACAAAATTGCTCAGCGCTTACTGCTAACTTGTTGCACCTTTAAGACAATCAATTTTTTCAAATTGATCATGGGCTCATTATGAGGGCTAGAAACAGGCTTCCATAAAAACTAATTAAGTTGTAGATAAAATGCAGTTATTTTTGCAGAAAAAAGGTGGGAGGAGGGTTCAAATGTCTCAACTTTTAAGATAATACTTCAAGAAATTTACAAAATCCAAACAAACCCTTCTTTTAGTAAAAGAAAAAAAAAATAGTTGGGGAAGAATATGATCCCTGATTTTCATGAAGCATGAAAAAGGATAAGCAGGCTACGTTGTGACGCGGGTAAAAAATAAACATGATACACTTCACCGAGCATCGAGCCCACCCAACGTGGCACACCGTGCATCGTCGCGGACCAATCACAGCTCATCGGTTACTGTATCACGCAACTCACTCTGGCGGCGTAAAGCGGAACTAAATCTACACAATTCAAACAAGCACACTCCGTCCGCCTCGCGCAGACTTATGCGCACCATACACAAATTAGTACTTTCTGAGAAAAATTTGTACTTTTTACGCATTTTACGTACCGACCCGTTAATTTATGTACATTTTACATATTTATGTATCAGTACACACCCTATACCTGTTATCTGCAAGAAATTTAAAGTAAAGAATGGATTAATAAGCTGTTGATTAACTCACATTCTGCTTGAGGCGGTACCAAGATTGGGCGTGGTAGCGGGGCTGAGTTCCCTGCGGCAATGGTTGTATTCTTGCGACGTCTCTTTGCTTGTTGACGAAGGGCATGTTTCATTACCTTCTTTGAATGAGGGTGATTGAGAGCACATCTTGATATTGAAGGAGACACTTCTTCTCGAGCGATGCTCCAAACACCACCTCGCTCCTCACCAGTTGATTCATCTTCAGCACTACTGCCTACTAAACAATGAAAAAATAAATTAAGTAAGCGATAAATTAAGCAAAGTAATAAATTGAGTGATTAGGTTCAAAAAGAAAGGGAGAATCTAAGAGAAGAAATTTTTAGAAGCTGCATCGATAAAATTTGAATTGGTCAAAATCAAAGAACTTGAAGTGTTTTCAGCCAAAAGGATGCGCTTTCAATAATTTTATATCGCAGATGCTGCAAATTTGAATTCTCGGCAGCAACGAAAGGCGTCCTATACATAGTACCTTCGACATTGTTAGTATACTTGAAATTCTATACCATTACACATAGGTTCTGATGTTCAAATTGCTAAGGCCTTGTCTCCACAAGAGCAGTTTGCAGAATTTCAGGCTAACTTTACATAACTTACTTACCTATAGTTTGTGGAACTGATTTGCCTAAACCACGCTCATGTGAACAAGGCCTTATTCTTGCCTAGCAGAGCGTACACTGTATTTGAAGGCACACACAGTCCACCCGGATTGGGCCATCGAGCACATTGTGCGTGTCTGACACGGCAATAATCTCCCCAAATATGTACTCTAGGGATCAAACCAGGATACTCGGGTTCTTTCTACGCATTCTTTAGAATTCATCTGAAGGAATTTTGGTACAAAATAAAGTTCATCAAAGCATTTTCTAGTAGAGCTTGCGCATCGTATGTTGAGACAAACGTCAAAGTATTGTTTGCGTCACCATTCACCAGTGATGCCACCTGACTACATGTATTAACCTGTTAAGTGGTGCAAATTCAGAGCTAATCGGAGATTGACGTTTGTCTCAACATATGATGCGCGAGCTCTATCTGCATGAACTATGGTGAAGACAGAAAGGAATAGCGAATTTACAAGAGGCAACTTGTTACCTTTTACTTTTTGCAGTTTGACTGGTGATAATGCTTGGGTCACTTTCCCCGCCTTACTTGTGGACTCATCCATGATGCTGCTGATTACATTCTCTGATTTACATCTGCAAGAGATAATGAGAAAATATACTTCAGATTAAACTGAGAGCAAGTATTTCAAGGGTGAAGTGAAATGGATGACAAGAAATTGCGCAAGGTATTTTATAGTTTGTTCAATAGTCTGGCACCATTATGACTAGCAAATATTTACAAAACAAACCCTTAATTTTGGAGACCCGTGTCCAGGGGTGCAGAAAGTTCTTAGCCTTTCCATTCTTTAAGTTGGCCTTTCCATTTTTAAAGTCCCTTTTTCCTCCAAAAAGTGCGAGTTACTAACTTTCTTATGGCTCTGTGCGCATAAATTGGCGCTATTTTGCACAAAGCATGTTGTTTATACAGCAATTTTACAAAAATCACATAATTTTGACCGCAGTTTGGCCGAAATGCTCACGATTTTGCCAGAATTCCCATTTCAACCAACTGTTTTGGGGGCCTTCCAACTTACACCCGTGACCTACCTGGTCAGGTAGTCGAGAAGTTTTTGCACCCCTGCCTGTGTCAGACTTTGGCCATCAATACGCAAGATAAACTGGAGCAAAAGAGTAAGCCTGTTGCAGAATGAATTAATTATTATCAGAAATAATCATTTTCAGTTCAAATTGTAACTAACTCATAGCCACTCATAGTGTTATTGGGGCTGTGTTTGATTTGAGTTATGACTCAGATCTTCTTGTCAGAATGCCATCACGAAACGCATGGAAAAGTGATTTATTGAGCATAATAACAGGGTTACATCACGTTCTTAATAAGAAAAAGATTATTCTCTGAGGATATTCTTTGAATTGTGAAGAAGTTGGCGAACCTGGTAATCTTGGGACTAATTCTTCATGAAAGTTCAACGTACTTTCGACAACATTTGTAAACAAACCTTTATCTATTGGCCTGCACATAGCTAGAGGAACTTTGAAAAGGTACACTTTAGATTTTGACAGTTTGTGTCCACTTACCTTGGTTTTCAGCAGAACATCTTCCCATACAACTTCAACCTCCTCCTTGGAAACAGCAAAATTCATAACTGAACAGGATGCTTGCATTATAACATATAGGTTAAGAATGACACTCGGACTTCTCTGAAATTGAAGCAAAGATATTTCTGAGCCAGTAAAAACAAAAGGTCATGATGTTGAAACGAGGTAGAGACTCACAGGGTATAAATAGGGACAGGAAGCAACGGAGAAAAACAAGATTGAGCACTTTGAGTAGACTGATTAGGAATTGTAAACAGTCTGCCTGCTGAGGGCTGGCAATTGGTTGGTGGCTGGCTTACAAGTGGCAATTCTTTATATTCGAAATAAACTAGCCGATGAATTAGATTGGTGGAAACCTTGAGTAGTAAAACTGACTTGGTATAAGAAAATACAATTGCTTAGAAAGTTCCAAAGTAAGTTATGATGCTAAAGTTTCGAGTAGACCCGTAGTCAGGTCACCTTAATGAGTGCCTCAATGATAAGATTCAAAGAGAGAGAATGGAGAATTGAGTGGGTTGAGGAGAAGGAGATAAAAGGGAACCAACATGATAAGAGGCAAGAAGACTGACTATAACGATGCGCATATCCAGGGAAAACGAATTTCAGACATGAATGGAAATAAACAGCCATTGTGATTACATTCGGTAGAGGAATGTAGACGGAAAGATGTTTACCTTATTTGGGTGATACGGATCGGAAACTCCGAGAGATGAGGAATTATTAGGCCATTTTCACCAAGAAGTAACGAAACGGTTAAAAACGATAGTTATTCACTGATGAGAAAAATTGGATTCTTCTTCAGAAATATTTTTACAACAAAATGACAACAAATGAACGCTGCCTAGAGAAAACTCGTAATTTTCAGCACTCGTAATTTCAGTCTTGTTTACTTTGCGCAGTTTCTATCGCTTTGTATCGCAGTTCTTTTGTAGCGATATATCGGTGGCGGAAAGAGCCGAAGCGAACCGAGCAGCTACGGAAAGTCGTTGTCATATTGGCGTTATTTTCATGTTGCCATTTTTACCGTTTTGGTTTTTTTTGACCGTTTGGGTTTTTTTTGATAGTTTTGGTCGTTTTGGATCGTTTATACGCTCGGTATAATTTGGTTTTTTTTTTGGCGTTCTGCGTTACTGTGTACTTTAAAATGTATTATTGAAACAGAGTATGATACGAAGTCAGTCTTGGTAAAAAACAATGTCGATTCCCAAGGGAGTGGAGGGGGGGGGGTTGAGATCTGCTATATTGTCGCCTGATTGTCGGTCCGCGGGTTATTTTTGTTTTACCAAGAAATTTAATGCATTTTTTTTTAGCAGGAGGAATGTCGGTCGATGCGCGCCACGGCATTAGAGATACGCTATGCTTTACGTCCTATTCGCGCCCTGTAAAATTTTAGAGTGTGACGATTTCAGCGATGTTCATCGAAGCACTTCCAAGTATAATTATTTCAGCCTTAAACATCTGAAGATTCAGTTATTTCATGGCAGTAACATACTTTGTTGAGCAAGGGCTGGAGGGGGGATGGGGGACAGTTTTGTTCTTCTAGTGATCAACTGGAGAGGAATTTATGTATTTCTCTCAAAATTTCATACTGCAGCTGTGAAATGAGTGTTTCAGCGTTTGGAAAAATGGGTTGCGTTTTGCGATTGACTTTTACCGTAAAATAGAAGTAGCACCAGCAGACAAGCACAGAAAAACGGGTAATACACTTATGGGATATCTTTATTCAGTAACGTCATGAGTTCAATCATTCAATCTTGAAACGAGTCGACTTTCCTCTTGAAGAACCATCGGTTAAAAATTGGAAACTATTTTTATGAAAAATGCCAAACACCGTTGTGTCGACGTGTATTTTGTCAAAATGTAGCATTTTAGCAGTGTAGCTCGCAGTCTTGCAGATTGCAGAGAAAATCAATTTTCCCTCCACAAGCGTCTCATCAACATTTGATTCAGTGACGTAATTTCGGCACAGCCAATGGCGGCCGACCAACAACCAATCACCATACACCATTCTCACCTCCATCTTCCATCTTTTCTTTTGTCGTAATCTCAATGTTCGCGCACGGGGTTGAGAACGAAAATTAAGTTTCGTTCTGAATTATGGTATGGTGTTGAAAATGGGAGACGTCGACAATATTGATTTGTATGCTGACGACCTAGAGGGACAAGACTTTGGGCAAGGCGTAAGTACATTTACTTATTCTATTTTGAGTTAGAATTGGGACTCGCGGTTGGACGCCGTGTCCGCCATGGCCCGTTTCACACCATGACCCGCCGGGCCAGAGCGTCGTTTTCTACAAATCGGAAATCCGCTCGCCGGCTGGAATAATCATCAATGGTTTGTCGATACTTCCACAGTATATTTACGGTTTTGGCTTTGCAGATTATATTCAAACTTATGGGCTTCAACTTTCCATGGCCAGATCATGGTAAATGTCAACTCTCTTTTAGGCTTCTATAGTTCCTTTGCCTAAAGTTACATTATTGTTGGGCCTTCTACAGTCTCATATCTATAAGACGCCACTCGTCAATTATTCTGAACCTCTGATTTCATCTTACTAGACTAGCAGTCAGCGCTATATGTATGGATTAAATGTGGCACTGTGACTAGACAGTGCCTCGTTCAAGTTTGCGTCTAAGAACATGTTCTTATCAAATTCCCTGCGCACTACTCACAGGTAGCTATCAGTGATCTCAATCATGATATTTTCGGTGGCTATTATGAAAATGGCATCACACTTGCTACGAAATATTGCCTTGTTTTAAGTAAATCTCAGAGAGGGAGTCCTCTACGCTGTAGAACTTGAAAGAGAATTATTTTCAATGCTGCTAATTTTTAGCTTCAAACCCCTCAATACAACACAATAACCTTAGTGTCTAATTCATCTGAATGTGCCAAGCCTTAATATTCCTGATGCATAGCAAGTTACATTTTTTCTTCCAACCATCCAATTAGCCGCTTTGAACTGCCTTCCACGCTTGATCTGCAGCTAAAGTAAGCAGTGGATTGTGCTTGATGCAAGGCAAAGTTTTGTAGCTGTATGCGCTCATTTCCACATTAACTGCATGAAATGCTTCTCATACCTTATCCTGTAAGGAAATGTTCAATAACAGCCAATGAGTTTAATTGTTATTGATTGGTAAAAGCAAAGAATTATTTCTTTTTGGAAACTTAGTTTTGATGGTTACCTCCACTTCCTGAAGGTAAGGTAAGGGTTTAAGGTTATGACAAATCCAACGGTGCGGAAAGTTTTAAGCCTCCCTCTAAATTCAATTGTCTTCTCTCATTTCTAATCTAAATTCATACCTAATTGCTTCTTGCTAGGGACTGAGGAAAAAGAAAGAAAGAAAACCCCTTTTTAAGTTAGTATCGGTCTTTATAACTTTGTTTTGATTCATTTTTATTCTCTGTCTCAGGAATATAACGCCGAAGTAGACTTATATGATGATGTGATAGCAGCTCCAGCCTCAGGTGTTGAAAATAATTCTGGAGGTCCGCCTGGAGCCCCCATAATCACGAACAACGATGTTAGCACAAACCATGGAGGTCCTCAGTTCAACAATGGACCACATAATAACCAGCAAGTATCTCATGGTGGACAACAAAGGCGGCATCAAGTTTATGTTGGAAATCTGACTTGGGTAATTTTACATATATTTTCCTATCCCTTCTTGTTTCCTCTCTGTTTCTTTTTGTAGCCTTGTAATTTTTGATGCTTATCACTCTGAATCTGGTTCCCTTTTTCTCTGACCTAAACCTTGACTTACATCAAGTATTGCTTAAGCGAACAAATGAACAGATAGATATTTAACTAACTTTGACAAGATCGTCAATTTCAGGCATCTCTAAAGCATTAGATCATTTCATACCGATCAACCGATTGATTTAACCTGACCCTCTCCAACTTTGATGAAGTATCATGAAACTTGTTTTTGCGTTATTCTTAAAGTCTTTTCCAATTACGCCAGTGATTGAGAAAGCACAGTAAAACCATAAATAACAGAAAATTTATGGAGAAATCCCTGTTAATTGTAAATTTCAGATATAACTTTAAAAATCTAAAAGTATGGGAGGCTATCTCAAAGACTTTAATATTAAATTCAGTTTACCTGTGTCCTGTTGTCCAATGTTCCTGTGTCCAAATCCAATAATTGAGGAACTGGATAATACTATGAGCCCTACGAATACTGAAATTTTCGTAATGAAGACTGATATTCTCTATCTAGCGTTTCCGCTTTACCAAGGGTTCCAGCAGTTTGGCAAGCCTGGAAAATCTATGACTTTACAGCGACCTGGAAACATGAGAGAATTCATAGGAACAAAAAGTTTGGTAATTCTGTGTACAGCGTTGAGCAGAAGTCAAATTTTCTTAAATATTTTCACCAATGCACACCAAAATTGGATGAAACTTGGAACCCTCAAAGTTGAATGACATAGAAATGTTCAGTAGTGTTTTTATTATGGTTCTGTTTACATCTTTTTCAGTGGACAACAGATCAAAATATCATTGATTCAATTGTGGCAGTAGGCATCAATGATTTTCTTGAAGTCAAATTTTTTGAAAATAGAGCAAATGGACAATCTAAAGGATTTTGCTTGGTTTCCCTTGGCTCAGAACAGAGCATACGCATGTGTATGGAGCGTCTTCCGAAGAAGGAGTTACATGGTCAAAATCCAGTTGTCACATACGCTACTAAACAAGCTTTAGCCCAGGTTAGTTTCAATCCCTTAAAATTATCTTCAAGTAAATAATTATGATAGACAAGATATCTTATTGCAAAGTAAGCAACTGATGGAAGGTTTAACCCTTTGACATGAAATGAGGGCAAGGTGTCTACAAGTCCGGAATTTCTGGAAAGTCCAGGAATAGTACTGATGTTTTAAGGGCAGTCCGGAAGTACTGAAAATGTGCGGAAATTCCGCAGAAGGTCCGGGATTTTTTAATTTTTTGTCGCAACTTGGGCGAGAAATTTAAATTTTTCGATTTTCATTTATTGGAGACAGGTAGTAAAAAAGTACCGAATTTTCCTGTGGAGACGGTACTGAACTTCTGGGGAATGTACTGAAATAGCACTGTAAAAGTACTGATTTTTGGCCAGCTTGTTATAGTAGACACCCAGGACGGCTGTGAGCCTTATGTGCTATGCTGGGCCAGTTATGAACCAACTGGTCGAGTTGGCATTGATTATTACAATAAGTAATTGGATAATCAATAGTAGACTGAATTCTCATTAATGTTTACATGAGAAGTGTGACCACTCTGAAACTTATTTTGTGTGATAATTTATTGCTTTTTCAAGGAATTAATTTGCTTTTATATGGCTGAACATATAACACCCTTTAAGGGGTAAGCGCCAATCAGGTCCAATCTTTCGTGTAGGGAATGCCTTTGATATAGGTGGCATCAGCAGGCTGATGATTGAAATTGATAGACAAAGCAATAGACAAAGAAGATATAAGGAGTATGGAGCGATCCTATTGGTTAAAATAGGTGGTTCCTATAGACTAAAGAGAGAAAATGATGGACTAACTATAGGGTTTCTTGTGGGTTGCTGTTAGTCAGTCTAATACTTACCTCCTTTGTCCATTACAACCACCGGCTTCCACCATTAGGATCCCACTGTATCCCTCAGGTCTTCTTTGTCTATCAATTTCAATAATTGGCCCGCAGATAAGTTGACTATTGTTTACTTTTGGTTTGCAAGCGTTTTCGCATCACATAGGTACAGGGTTACCACGGTCACGGAAAACTGGGAAATGTCAGGGAAAATTATGAAAATGATGTTGATGTCAGGGGAAAATCGTAAAAGTCGCGAATCATAACTGACTAGTAGTTATTTTACGATACGACCATGAGACGGATGTTTTCAAGGTGGATAGTAGCGAACGCCGCTTTGTGCAGAGGCCTAAATTCGTCATCTGCGCTTGCAAACTGAAAGTAAACAATGTTCAACTTATCTGATGACACCTCTAAGTGATGTATTCGGTCATTTGGTAATGGCCTTCTCCCAAAGTTTCTCTCTCTTCAGAGTCAGGGGTGCAGAAAGTGCTTGATTGGCCGATTGCGGAGCAGAAAGCATGAACCAGTTAAGTGCCAAGCTTTTTGCAAACGGACCTGTGTAAAGTGCTCTCTTATGCAAAGGAAACAGTTAAATAGGCTCTTTTATGCCAGGTAATAGTGAAGCGCACTCTTTTATGTAAAGGAAACAGTGAAGCTCGCAAGTCTCATGTGGACAAGAATGTGAAGGCAACCTCAACAAATGCAAAAGTTGCCTCCAAAAATATGAAGGCGAAGAACTCTACACCCCTGTCCAGAGCATTATGTATTTTATTAACGGCCTCGAAATCTCTCTTGACACTGAGGGCTCATTCATGCCTTTTGCTTCCTCGTAATTCTTTGTAAAATTGCCTCGCCGAATTCTGCATTAAAATTTTTTCATCTGAATTTTCTTTTTCCACAGTTTGAAGCTCAATCCAAAACACGGCCACCCCCTCAACAGCAACAAAATCAACAAAGAGGACCCCACCCAGGAATGAACATGCAGCATCTAGGTCAACACGGCCCTCGTGGCATGATGATGCAGGGTCCACCTCAAGGAATGCGACCTCAAGGACCGCAAGGGCACAGAATGCCACCCCCTGGCATGAACCAGATGCCTCATCATGGAAATCAAGGACCTCGAATGCCTGGACCACCCCATATGCAAGGACAGCCAGGAGGACCCCCGCAGGGTCACCAATTCCCTCCGCAGGTTCCGAATCAGCAGCAGTGGAATGGTCCGCAGGTACCCCAAAATGGTGGGTTCATGCGTGATTTCTCTGGTTTGTGTTTGATTTTATTACTTTTAATTGGAAAGAATCTCAGGCTGCTAACTTTTAGAGCTAAATATTTCTCTTGTTCAATTAAACTGTTAAATCGACACTTCAAGGCTGTTGATTCTTTTCAACTTGTAGTTTTAATTTATTATCTTTTCGTAAGAGTTGCTCACTTCTGTTAAATAAATCTAGAAGCAATGTCTTACAACTAATTTCTCAGATCTAAATTTTTGCTTGCTTGTGGAGTATTCATTCATTCATGTTTGATGAGATTTTAGATTATTTTGGGAACAGTTTAAATTTTAAATAACGAAATATCTCTATCACTAGTTTGATGCTTTTTTAATTTTTGACCAATTTCTGTTTAAGCTGCTTCTCAGCGTTCAGCTTGAGATTTCTTGGATTTTTAAGCCTTGGTTTTTTTTTTTTTTTTTTTTTTTTTTTTTTTTTTGTACCTTTTATGTGATTTGCCCCTCTGCAAAAAATCAAACCTAGTGTGAGGGGTGATGCCTATCCTTCCTTTTCTTCTCCAAAATTCATTTCGAACTCTCCATTTAACCTCTTGCCAATCAACCGCTGTTGCTTCTTCTATGTCTTCTCCCTTCCCTGTTTCTCTATTCCTCTTTTCCTATTGCTTTCTTACAGATTTCTTGTGCTTTCGACTTGTTCCTCTCCATCTCTGGAGTCTACAGTCTGTTGGGGGAGGGTGCTATCACAAAGCGGCTAGAAGGGGCAGCTCCCTAATTTTAAACTATTTTTGTCTCAAAGCAGTCTTTTATTCAACTCATTTGTGATAATTCAGCATAATTTCATGTTATTAAGAGTATGTCTTTACACCACATTGAACTGTAAAAGCATCCAACAACCTCATTCAAATTCCTAGGTAGCAGGCACTGAGAGAAATAATTTGATTGCATTTTGCAAAGTGGAACTAACACAATGTCAGCATTCAAAAAAGTGTGTATTTTTATCTTTACTTTAAAAAATGCCTGTACTAGTAAAGAGGTTTTGTTTTTCTACGAAGAAGTGTCCATTTTAAAGGAAACGTTTGCTACAAGTACTACAAGTATGTAAAACAATAGAATGTGTTTCTATTGTTTTACATACTTGTAGTATTTTACGAAGCAAGAAAGAAGTTGCTCCATTTTGAAAACACTAACCCTGTCGGTTCTCTTTTGCTAAATGCTATCCAATCGTTTAACATCAGGAGTCAGAGGAAGTCGGAAAAATTTAGTATCTGATCAAAGATTCTTTCTCATCATTCATATTGCCAATGATTTTTAGAGGAACACAAACAAGTTTTTCTCTGAATCTTGTCGGCTTTACTTAAATTAGTGGTAAATCAAAAAAGAAAGGAAAGTTATAAATGAAATTTTTAAAATGGTTCTTGGAAACTTTATGTAAGAATAACAATCAGTTCTCTTTCTTAAAACAAAAAAAAGTGAGAAAAGGAAAGTGAGAGGAGAAATGTTGAAATACTTCTGATTAGAGTCAAGATATTTTAATTTTAACATCAATGTTTCATTTTACTTCTAAGAATATTCAGTAAAGCACTTTAAAGCTTTTTGAACTCAGTATTTTTTTACTCAACTCTCTCTTTTCAACTAAGCTAAAGTTCACAATACATGCAAGATGATTGCGAAGTGATTGGTTTGAATTTTCACTGTTAATGACTGCTACTTTGTTTTAATCACAAATAGATTGCCATTGTGCTAATTGTTAGTGTTCTTTCTTGTTTGTCAACAGGGCCTCCTAGGCCTGGTGGCCCACCTCCGCAACAACGACCTCCTGGACCCCCAGGAATGGTAAGGCTGAAAGATTTACTCTAAATTTTCCTATTTTAACAGTCTGAAGTGGATGGTCAGTGATGTCTTAATATTAATTTGATTTCAGTTTTTTTATGAGCGGAAAGTGTGAATTGATGTACTTACGCAAAAGATGCAATTATTCTCTCATTTGTGAATCAAAAGGGAGTTTCAACACAACGTCTTTCATTTGAAATTTTAAGGAAGAAATATTGTATTTTTGTGCTTATATAATACGTCTCTCTTCTTATGGCCTGTTGATGGAATAAGGAACAATGAATGTATTTTGGTGGAAGCTCATTGCAAAATTAACTTTAAAAAACCTGAACCTATTGCTCTCCTCAGCCTATATTGACAATGGAAAAGGAAATGCATATGTCAATTGCATCATTATAAAAATTCTGCTGTAATTTCTTTTTTAAAAATGGAAAATACCATTGGACTTTTTTGTATGAACTTTTCAAAGATCATTCTTTAAATAACAAGATGAAATGAAATTTTATGCGCAAACATGATCAATCCACTATAAAAGTGGAAAATTTAGGAAACCTGAAATATTTCAACTGAAGAACGTATTTTAGTTGCATAAAATACAAAACGTTCATGATTTACTTATGCAGTTTGTCGCTCGGTTTCAGCAGCAGTTCCAAATGATGCCTGGACAAGGACCACCTCGTGGACCTCCCATGCCGCAGGGTCCTCCTGGAGGGCCTCAGCAAGGTCCACCCGGAGGTCCACATCCTGGAGGACCCAGGCCTGATTGGAACAGACCTCCTGGTAAATATTTTTTCATTGTAATCTTTCTTATTAGTTTGTAATCAAGTAGGGTTTGAAGATATCAATGGTCTAAGTGCAAAAACGACGTATCTCCACTATGGTGTTGCAAAATCTCATCTCTAGTTTATTTTTTCAAAGAGGAAAAAGTCAATTTTCTACCTAGAAAAATTCAGGAAGTTTTCAAGAAATTACTTTGATCAGTATTCTAAGCAAAAAATGAAGGATGACTGGAAGTCTTCAACATAGCAAGCAGATACTTGAGGTCTTGTACTTTAGCCATCGTTATGCTATGAAGCAAGAAAATAACTATTCAGAATTTTTACAATCGAAGGGAAGTATTTTTGGGTCTTATGACATAGTAGTGTTCCCCATCATAAAGATCTTTTCACCACACATGGAGAGAGGAGATGAGAAAAAAAAACTCTGAAAGTTTGTTTTAGCTTGGCAAAAGTGCAAAGTCATAAGCTTCGCTGTCAAGAGGTGGAACCAGAAGCTATGATCAGGGTTTCTGGCGGTCTGGAAAGTCAGTGAATTCCTGGGAAAAATCATAGAATTCGCTAGTTGTGCGTCAGCTCAGCAAATCAGTCGGTGTCACTCAGAGTGCCTATTGCTTTAATTAGTGGAAGTAAAGATTTTGTCCATAGTTGGCAAAAATCAGTGTAATCAAAAGAAAAAATATAGGAGGTTTCGATTGAAAATTAAGGAAAAAGTTCGAAAATTTCAGAGACGAAGAAAAGCAAAGAAAGTCATAGAAAAGTAGGAAATCAAAAAATGGAGGAACTATGTAAACCGTGTGTGTTCAGACTTCGAGCAAAGTTGCAACGCTGTAGCATTTTGATTCTTACATTACAAATGAGAAATTTAATCACATAATTAGATTTACATTTATGATTTTTATAAATTTGTGTTTATTTTTTTATCACATTTGTTTTTAATAAAGATGAGGACATTTAAAACCATAGAAAGGATTTTTTTTATCAAGGCTATTCGCACAGGGAAGTCATTCATGTTAAAAAGCTTTGAGACCCTACTGCGTATTGGCAGCAGAAAGTTCAAACGTTTATCATTATTATTACCTGGAAGTAATCATAATTATCTGTTTGTAATAGGTATGCCTCCTCATCAAATGCAGGGCCCAGGGGGTTACCCTCCACATCAGCAAGGTCCACCTCAAGGTCCCCCACCTGGACAGGGTCCTCATGGTCCTCGAGGCCCGATGCCTCCCAACCAAATGGGTGGTAAGTTCAGCTTTTCATCAGTACCTCTTTTTTTTCATCTTGTTGAGAATCCATGGACACCTAGGAACACCTAGGAAAATCCAAATTCCCAGTCACAAAAGGGCTCAGCTGCGGAGAGCAAACATTTTCATATCTCAAAAATTTTTGTCTTTGCTTTTCACACCAATTTATTTTTTTTAATATTTTCAATGTGCCAAGCCCAATAGGTGTCCACCCTCTTCAAGGAAAATAAACCGTAAAAATTGAAGTAACTTAAAAGGAAGAAATAAATATTTAAATCATAAATAACAGAACATTAAAGATATGAACAGTAAACAATAGACACCTCGTTAATTTTAAAAAGTTAAGAATCCTAAGTACTTGTGATCCTTAGTCCATGAACTTATTCTAACATTTTAGGTCCTCCTGTTCATGGAGTACCACCAACGCACCCACACAATGGTCCACCATCTCAGCCGCCTGCACCACATGTCAATCCAGCATTCTTTCCACAGCAGCAAGGACCTCCTCCTCATAGTCAGCCTGGAGGCCCACCTCCTCATGGATATGGACATGGCTTGGTTCCGAACTCTAGGGTACGAAGTTGCAAACTCTCCTTCATTCCTCTTAGATCTTGATATTTTTTCTGAAAAGAGCTGTGCGATTAAGGATTTTTGGTTTCATTAGCGATAAAAATTACTAAAGGGTGGTTAGTGGTTGAATAGCTTTGTCACCCCTGCATTCATTTAAATTTTAGTGTCCAAGTTTCAAGAGTTTGATTTGCAGCCAGATTATTGAACTACATAGATACGAGATAAGACATGATTTTCTTAACATAGTTGTCCAATGACATTTTGTCATCTTATCATTTAAACTTTTAATAATCAGCCTGCAGTTTGTCCAGCCACAGTACGCCAAATTAGTTTTCACCTTTCCAATCAAGCATCTGCAGCCTGATTGTTGAAATTTTTTTGTTTGTTGGGACGACATAGATGACATAGGTTAAAAGGCGGAGCATGATTGGTCGGCTATGTCTTATTGCTGCTTTGTCGTGCCTTTGTCAGGTGAAATGGACGACATACTATTGGAAACTTAAGAGATGCCGATAGTTTGTCGTGAGTTCAACCCGACATAGGCACGACAAAGCAGCAATAAGACATAGCCGACCAATCATGCTCCGCCTTTTAACCTATGTCATCTATGTCGTCCCGACAAACAAAAAATTTCAACAATCAGGCTGCAGTGGAGTGGAGTTGACTTTGTTAAACAATGTGTGTTTATTTTTATACTTAGTTTTTTTCTAGTTCTCCCCTCCCCCCCTTAATACCCTATTTTAATGAAATTTTTTTGTTTTGATTTTCAGCCTCCTTATGGAGCACCTCCACCAACTGATCACAGGACTCCAGATGGGCCACCACCTATTAGTGAAGCTGAGTTTGAAGAAATAATGGGACGGAACCGAACTGTTTCAAGTTCCGCGATAACAAGAGCTGTCACTGATGCAGCTGCAGGTATTTACATTTGTTAAAATCCTGCTCCTCAAAATTTCATATCAATTACCTTTTTTGTCCTACGGAAATTCAGCTTTTGAGGTTCTTTGATGAAATCTTAACCTAAAATCTATTTTTTCACTTCGAAGAAAGAAGAAAAAGTAGATTCGTCGAAAGACCTTATCTCAAATGGCAATATTTCACTGCTCATATGCTCAAAATAGCACATTCAAAGCCTTTGCATTGAATTATGCAGTTCTGAAAATTCACAAATGCAGCTTTTGGAAAAATTTCTTAAGTTTAAAGGCCAATACTTACAATAATCTCTTTTTGTTGAGCGTCATCTAAAAATATGCATCCCAAAAAAATTGACGATTTTTGGGTGTACATCGCCTCCAAAGAGAGCTCGCAGTTTATGCAGAATATGTTAGTCATCAAAAATGACAAATTGGTCTCCAATTTGCTTCTTATCATTGTAAATTTTTTGTCTAAAATGAGTAATCTTGTTCGCAGGTGACTATGCCAGTGCTATCGAAACTCTAGTGACAGCTATTTCCTTAATTAAGCAGTCGAAGGTCTCAAGCGATGACCGATGCAAGATTTTAATAAGTTCTCTGCAAGATACGCTGCACGGTGTTGAAAGTAAAAGCTATGGGGCATCACGGAGAGACCGATCCAGGTCTCGAGATAGAGACCGCTCCCACAAAAGATCTCGCAGAGACAGATCACGTTCCAGGGAACGCGACTATAGAGACAGAAGTCGAGATAGAGATCGTGATAGAGAAAGGGAACGAGAGAAAGAAAGGTAATTTTTCTTGTCAACTTTCATCTTGACGTCATTATTAGTCCGGAAAAACCGATGAGCATCCTTCCCTTGTGTTCAACACAATTATTGTCTGCAATAATTTATTGAACCTGAAATAAGCTCTAATTCTGATGAAGAGCAAACTTTTTGTACCCGCTTAAAACTTTATCTGCTCAATTGTAATTGTATCATTTCTTTCAAACTGAAAGTTGCAGTCAGCATCAGTTTTTATGAACTTGAGTATCCTGTGATAGTCAAGTAATGGAAGAAGTTTTGTCCACTGTAACTTTTTCCAATTCCTTTTGGACTAAAAATGATCTATTGGTATTAAAAGTATAACTTTGAAAACAAGTATCCACTAGTGTCTGTGCAATTGTCTCGTCAAACTCAACTGTTCTTATCATAACTTTGATTTCCTTTCCTCCACAGGTACTATGCTGAGCTGTATCGCGACAGATCAAGGAGTCGTGACCGGGATCGTGAACGCGAGTATAGGGAAAGGAGCCGAGAAGACAGGTCTGTTGTTTTATTCTTTAATTGCGTTACCTAGCTAACTTGAAGCTTGAAAGAATTCTTTCTCAGAGAAATGTAAAATTCTGTAGCAGTAATGGTTTTCTACTAATCGTTTATCTCTATCACCGTATTCTGATGAATAGGACTGTTCGTTTTCCTCTCTTTGAATTTCTTTAATTTTTTTACAATCGTTTTGCTTTTGAAACAATTAATTTACATTATTTTTGATTGACTCAGTTCGAAAATTAAATGGATTAGCAGCACTTGGAGAAAAAAAATTCGAAACTTGTTGATGATATACTATTTATCACCCCTTTATTACAAGCTCCGTTGAGTCCAAAATTAAAAATTGCAAAGCTGTCTGCATGACCCACACATATCTTGCCTGTTATGAAACGACGTTGAGTTTTCTACCTCTCTCGTCTTTTTTTTCCATTGGCCTGTCTTGTAGCATGCTGTCTTTGTTTTCTTTTGAGAATGAAGGTGTTGTGACATCTTCAATCATTAAAAATGATGCTGTTGTGCTCAAATCCCTATCATTTATCTTGCCCTCCGATTTTTCATTGCCACTAATTATTGCTCTAAGATAATTAATTCTATGCTTTAAAATCGAAAAATGCTTTTGAATGAAAAGGCAATGAGTCATTTCAAATGAAAAGTAACAAAAAGAAGTTTTTGAAGAAAGAATATTTATTACATTTATTTCCATGAAGGACTATTTCGTAACTTTGAACTTGCTCCTTCCTCTCTCAAATTTTGCTACCATCAGCCCTATTCCTGTCCAAAATTCTTAATTTATGGATCACCAGAAGTTGAAGTTGCTGATGATGCTCCTTCCCCCACCTCCAATACTTATTGGAGGTGGGGGAAGGAGCATCATCACAAGGGGGAATATTTTCAAAAAACAGTAGAAAAAATAGTTATCATGTGTTATTCAAACACTTAAAGATAATTCAATTTCTAACAAACCTGCATTTATCTGCAACAGTAGATGCTATATGACTGATACAAATAACATAACTCAATGAATTTTTCTATTTTAAAATTGATTCTATGCAACAGTATTACAAGGCTTTGGTCTGTATCCGAGTACCGTCAATTCATTCACAATTTACTAATTGAGATCTGCCCTTATTTTATCCCCCAAATCGTTATTCCTGTCCGTCTACGTGTTTTTTCCTATATTTTAGTGGAACAAAGAGGTTCCCTTATCGTACAGTTTGCGCCTGCTTGTAGTTTCTTGCGAATTTTAACTCATTTGATTGCATTGTGTTTAGTTCTTCGCGGGCAGCAAGATCTCGGGCAGTTAAGTCACCTGTCGACCCTGTTGAGGCACCAGTTGTTGTGAGCTCCAAATCAAGGTACTAAATCAAGCTTTTTAACTGTTGCAACATTTTCTCTGCCCCCTCCAGAAGTTATGGATGTTATCTGGCCTGTTGCCACTCATCCTTCACTGTTTGGAGCGGTATGCGGTGTTTATAGCTAAGAACCAGTTTTCTCAACTTGAACCCACTACTTGAATGTTCGTAAATGAAATAACCGAACCATTGCGCGTCATACCGCTGCATTTTCGTATTAATCCTAATAGTGGGCAAGATTGGGTGACGGAAAACAAATGTGGTAGAATTTTCACTTTTGACTGATATCCTAAGCCGCATTTTGGATAACCGGTTTGCACATCAGAGCCAGTGCCTATTTGCGCATCCTGGACGTGCACTTCTCTAAATTACCAAAGATTAATTTGAACGCATGTATTTTTCTAGTTCTGATGAGATGTTGAGAATCCACAACGGTGCGTTTCTCATTGTGTATCCTAAGATGATACGAAAAAATTCAGTACATTAGAGACGTAATATTATTATATGTGATTGAAAGAATGAGATAAATTATAGCTAGAGACAATTTTCTGGTGCACAACTAGAAATTTTCTTGCTTGATAACAAAGAAGCTTTCCTTATCAAGTATCCTCTCATCATGAATTTTATGTCAGAATTGGTCTGTTGTATACTTTTCGTAGACTTTTCCTTGCTTTCAAAATGAAGTTAGTCATTGTTAGTCATATAATCAATTGTTCTCAACTGCCTTCCAAGGTTTGAAAATTGATTATAATGAATTTTTAGATTCCTAGCCATAAGATTGGTGGCTGAGGAGTTCGTCTTTTGGTCTCTAGGCGATTCTTTGTGATATTTTTTTTTTTTTTTATAATGGTATCAATTTTTTTGAGGAAGCTGACTTTGTAGTAATTAATCCTAAAGCCATTTAGTTGGTTCTCGTGGGGAAAATGTTTTTATTTTTTTAATTTTTCGTTGTTACTTTTTGGCGTGCTTACTGTTATTTAACAACTCATGCAGCTTTCTCAGAATTTTGGAGTTTGAAAATGTCCTCCAGTCCTTACGTTAGCGGAAGTTTGGATATTAGAACTAGGCTTTTTATAACCAAATGAAAATCAACGTCACAACTGTATCAAAGATATTTTGATTGCATCACCAACTTCTTTTTGAACTATCCTAATCCTCCTACTCAGGTTTCTTGTGTTTTTAAATGAAACTAAAATGTAAATTGAACGTCTTTAATTTTAAATAATTATTAATGCAAGGCACTGGGGGTAGAAGAACCTCATTCAGTCCCTCATTTATTTTGTGAACTGTGTAAGTAGTCCTTGATAACTACCATGATCAAATCATTCAGTCATGATGTTTGAAATGTGTTATCTGTCTTTAACAGTAGGGGCATAATGTGAGTTGAAATTTTTATTGATGAAAGATGATATTTGAATAATTTTCTCTTTCATTTCACACTGATGTATCAAAGTGTAGATAAGTTTGAAGAAGTGTGATGCTCCCTTTGTAAAATAATGACTATTTTTGTCCATTCATATGTTTCATTCTGGTTCAAATGGAACTAAATTTCTAAAACAGAACAGAGTAAATTCGCTTTTGTTTGGAAACTTGCTAATTTGTAAATAACTATTGTCAACTAAACTTAGCGTATGGTTAGTATAATCCTGCTTTTGCCCTATTTTAATGTTTTAGAACAGGGGGATCAAACATAATTTCATCTAGGGCAGCATTGGAAACTTCAGAGAATGTTAAGAGCCAATCGTAAGGATATTATTATTTTACTTCATAATCTTTTCTTCTTTTCATCTACTGCCCATCTGTTCATTACAATTGATCGCTTAATCTGAATAATTACTCAAAGTGAGTGAATCATCTGTCATAATGGCAATGAATACACTTCAACTTGTTCCTGTCTCAAATGACGGTGGCATTAGATCCTGTCAAATGAAGTAAAACACAGCTTGTGCAATTAGGGCCCTTGAGAGGAAATCCTTCCAAAGGAAAAATCCGTATCATTTATAGCTTTAATCGTACATACTGTCATGGTCGTTACTTTGGTTTCTTATGAATGGATGAGCTTTCTTTCACATCGGATTGTGAAGGTACTGTAGATCTGTTTTGCCTGTAAAACTACTTTGTCTGATTTTTTGTGCAATAGCTGTGTTCTTTAAAAAATCGAAGGTCATGCACAGCTGATTCTTTGCTAATGTTTAGAATTTTGAAAAGAATTTTAAGTTTCTTGTCGCTAGTAAAAATTATCTGACTTTGTTTCTTGGCTAGTAAGAATTTTATTTTTTGTCACATCTTTACGCTAAATATTCAGTAGTTACAATTTTATATTTCAAGAGAGTTAGCAGAAACTTCAATGCGGTTAAACATTTCTCATCCTAATCTTTCCTAAACAGTTCGATTTCATTCATTTAGTTTTTCAAGTATGTATTTAACTTGACAAAGTAAAATGCCCTAAGTAAAATCCAGCAAGTAATGATTTCTCAGATCGTTTTGTCAATCTTTTCAGAGTTTCTCTGTCTAAACCAAGGCTTGAACTATGCTTTGACCATGTGCATAATCTCGCGTTAGGTCTAAATCATGTGCCATCTGCGCTTATGTCGAGCGCTATAATATTGATATGTAGTCGTATGCCAATTACTTAAAATGAATATTTTTTATCTGTTCAAAATTTGGAACTTCACTTTAATATAAATCTAACATTCTAGAAAAAAAAAACAGGGAGTAAAAAAAATTAATAATAATCAGTATAAAAGTAGCTGCTTCCCTAGAAAGTCGCTCCTTTTATTGTCCCCTTGATATTTGGAAAAGATCCGCTCCATCAGGCTGAAATATATTTAATATTGTGGAGCCCCATTTATCTTATTATATGCAAATCTCACAATGCTGTAATTTCCACCCATGTCGCGAAGAACTTCAGAGAAGTAAGGGCATTTAAACCTTCAAAGTTTTGACTGTAAAGGAGTGTGGTATTTACATGGTGCAACTCAATTTAGTGTATCTTGCATTTCCTAAAGAACGCCGACTATGAATGTCAGTTGGGAAATTCGGTTTGTATCGGGATGTTTCTTCTTCTGATTTCTCAGTTCCACGTTTAACTGCTATGTCAAGAAGTTTTTTTTTTTTTTTTTAATTTTTTTTCCCTCCAAAGTGAAATTTAGAGAAAGAAACACTTGTAACAAATTTGTGACTTTTTTTTGGAATTCGTCTTTAATTTCGTGTCTAGACTATTTTTTCTTTTCTTTTTTTTCTCTTTTTTCCTTTCTTTTTTTTCTTTAACTTTGTCTTAGTCCACTCACGTGACTTTTATGTTTGCACAAAACCTTAATCTTTTTAATTCGCTCAGTGATGGAAATTCCATCATTTATTTGATTGCAAACATGAAAAATCCATTGAAGAGTACAAGAGAAGTACCAATGCACGAAGCAGGTCACTGAGTAAAAGAAATTATGTTTTTAAGCTTTAAGCCTTGAGTTAGCAGAGGAGTAAGGATAAAATTCTAATTTAGATGTGCCAGTTTTGGAACGGCCATGCTTTGGCTCTTGGAAAATTATCAATAACCAAGTTTTCCTAATCATAGTTTCATTATCGAATTTTAATTTTGTGCTCATGCAAATCTTCTCCAAGCAAAGGGGCCATCCTTAATCTCTAAATTTCATAACGCTGCAGGGACTTTTGCAACTGAAGAAATTTTTAAAATGGACTTTTTTTTACGGATCCTGATGGTCAAAGTATTTTTCAATCAAAACGTTCAGTTGCTATGACAAACATCGCATAGGGAACGCCAGTGAAAACATGTTCCTTTTTTATTATTTAGTTGATATGCTCTCTACATGCCTCTTTTACATTGATTTCATGAGTATGCATGTACACATTATGCAGTCTGTTTGATGAATTCAATGCATCAACAATTTTCTGAGTTTTGATGGGCGGCAGGGGAGAGGGGGGCATCACATGATTTTTGAAGTGAGTGAAAGAGAGTAAGATAATATCAGAAAACTGCTAATTCAGCGTTAAGTAATTCAGAGATGGCCCCAAACCTAGTGACCATTATCCATGAGAATTATGTGATTTACAAGTATTTACTCACGAACATTGATCTCACTAGTTTTATAAATTTTTTAATGGAACGTAAGGTGCTATGATGATTTAAGTAATACATAAAAGTAGGTCGGCAGGTACGTTTTTAATTACTCATCGTCTGATTCTGCCTCATGCCCAAGAGAATTTATTCCCAAATACACTTATACAAAAAGGCATCATCAATATCTCTCCATCTGGTTGATGGCCTTTTTGCCTCAAACATTTCTTTCAATTTTCCTTTTTTCTTTTCCTCTGCACATCGAGAGTCTGCTATATGTTCTCAATTATTTCCTCTTATACTCTTCAACACCATCAAAAATGCCTAAATAAGCCTGTGTTTTCTGGATTAATCACGTCTTTCAGAAGTCACAAATGAATCAGAGAGAACGAAAACACACCAACTCGGTAACTTGAAAATGCTCAATTCTCATTGAAGACAGTCAATTTGTATACAGGTCATTGAAGTTAGCGCATTCGTCACAACTCGGACTTTTAAAGTGTCCTTAAGTACTTGTCTTTCTGCACTAAAAATATTTTTCTCAGACCAACTTCTTCATCTACTGTGCAGTTTTGTATATGTCTTGATTCTTTTCATTTTTTCGAGTTGGTGTGTTTTTGTTCTCTCTGATTCAAATTTTGGCCCTTAGGCCTTTGAAAAGTAAACAGCTTACTCCTTCAGTTTGATGTCTGGTGTATGACTGTATAGAATTGTCTCTTCTCTAAGTGAAAAATTGGAACAAATCAATGTAAGTTATCTAAAACTGCTTTCAAAATGAAGCTGAAAAATCAAAAACGGATTTTTCATAACTTTTCTTATGCCATTTCAAATTTCAAAACTTAAAGAGCTCTTATTACTTCAATATGGGGAAAAAATCCTCTCTCTTTCATACTTTCTAATGTTAACCTGCTTCTAAAGGATAAAGATGTTTGTAACTTTTTATAGTTGCTGTAAATAAAACTGAATCAGCAGATAGCGCAAGTTCATCATAATTTACTTTATTTGTTGTTTAATTGAAATGTGAAGTTACCTGAATTTGCGCAATTCGGAGGCAATTGCAAAATATTTGGGCCCAAATTTGCTTTGTTAGACACAATTCTTTGCAGTTATCATTGTTGTTTATTCTATATTATTTTATTTCTTTTATCTGTGTATTTTCCCAAAGTAACCGGGAAAGTTTTCGTATTGATTCATTTTATGATCAATCTTGATATTTCTTGATTGAAATATTCTATCTTTGTAGAACTTAATTTGGAATTTTTAAGTAGTGTCCTCCTATCCAACCTTAATGTATAAACAATCTTAAGAATTAATTTAAACAGGATAGACTATCACTCGAATCGTGTATAGAATTAGTTAAAATGAAATGCATTGTTTTGCTTGGATTTCAATTCCAAGTCTTTGCCTATTCCGCCTGTGTTTGTGAACAGCCTTTGAATATCTTTCGCAAAGATAGCAAGAGTCAACATCTTTTTCTCAGCTTTAAACTTTCTTTTTTTGAATTGATCGAACTTTTAATTTAATCGTGAATTTTTCGTTTGATGAAACGATGAAATATTCAATAACCAAAAAAATGTCGGGTTTTTCATTTTATGAATCCAAACGACGATATGCAGCTAGAAGTGGATATTGACTTTAAAACTTTTAAAATTTTCCTCTTTTTTGGCCTTAAAGTGAATTGGTGCGTAATTTTATCAAAGGATGTCACAGATGAAGAAATCAACTGAAAGTATAGTAATTCTTTAGAGATATACTATTTTTTAGCTTTAGAAACGAGATTTGAATAAAAAATGAGAAATTAGAACTAAAATTTAGATCTGTGCATTGAACCTTGTTTCACCTTACTTTCAAAGCAGCTTTTCTTTACCTAGTCGATTTTAATCTTAATTTTTATCAATGTATTCAGTTCCTTCATTTATGACACCCTTTGATCATTTCAAATGATTTGTTGCTTTGTCAGTTTTTAGGTAGAGGAAAGTATCTGTATTAGTGTTTTCTTTTTCTTTGTATACTCAGCAGGTCTTATTACGATGATCGTTATCGCGAACGAGAACGTGACACAAGGGACCGTGATCGTGACAGGGAAAGAGAACGGGAACGAGAATCTTCAAGAAGAGATCCAGAGCGCGACCGTGAAAGAGAGAGGGAAAGGAGAGAAGAACGGTCTGAATCCACGCACCACAGCTCCAGACATTAATGACAAGGCGTTTGGCATGTCGTTTGCTGCTATATCTCCGTATTCTGCTCTATCCAACCGTTTTGTAGATTTAAGAAAGTAGTGCTAATTGTTGGATATTAAGGAATTAAAAATTTAATTATTCATTCATTATGTTTATTCATCTTGATGTTTCTCGCATGAATTAGGACTCCTGCTTCTATTTGTCAGGTTTTAAGTTTTAGCCTGTCTTGACATCTTTTTAAATTAGTTCTGCTGTTGTTTATGGCATAACCCGACATAATAAGAATATAAATCCATGGTATGAGACAGCCTTTTATCGTCATTATCGATTTGAGACAAATGCGTCCCCCTTCTTCAATGTATGTTTGTATATTTCCGTTCCGCCTTCAACCCTCTCATGGTTTATATCGTTTTTGACTTTCTCAATAATTCACTCCTTGTCCAAAAGGTTAACGTGCTCACAGATGTAAGTTTTACTTGAGCAAACTATTGAATTAACATTTATCTTCACTGGTATTTTAATGCGTGTAAAGTCTGTTACACAAGTCATTTCAAGTTCAAAGCGGTTTAAATTTTCTGAAGAAAAGAAACTCTATAGAAAATCCCGCAGAATTGGATTGGAGTTTATGTTTTCTTTCGAAGTGACCTCAAATGAATGATTTTGTATGTGTTTTAATTTTCCTATCATATTTCTTCCCAGCCTTTTGTAGTTTAAAACTTCAATTAAATATAGTTGTGTTTCTCAGAATTTTAAGCGTAATTGCTATAAGCCCGGTCCTCATTCTTTTCATATTGGGCCTTTGTTTCCCCTATATCTACCTTATGAGTCAAATTTTTCTAACTTTTCGAGCCTTTCAAATTTAAACCAAATTTTGAAAGTCCTCGACTTCCATGGATATTCCGAACTTGACAGTAAGAATTATTTTCCAATTATAAATTTGTCTGTACATTATCACGTTTAAGTTACTCCAGCAAGGTAGGCTCATTTGCGCAAGTCTCAACACTTGACTCTGTTTAAGCTGTGAGTTGAACAGGTTATCTCAGAACAGAAACCTTTAATTGTATCGAAATAAATTTTTATGCAACATTTAATATTGTACAGGGAACCTTGTATTGTAGTTAATACAGGATATCACTGCCAGACCAAGCAGTTGCTCTGCTTTGTCTGCATCATATTACTCTTGAAGACTTTATTTTCATGAAATAGACTCAGCTTTAAAGAAACTCTATCTTGAAGTCTTGAACTTTTCTTTGTCATCTTTATAATCTTTGATAAAGTGTCAACTTTACACCACATTTTTGTACAGTTTCATTTCATTGATATCACCTCAACAATTGAGCTCGGTTTTCATCATAATGAGGGCCAAAATCTATCATTTTTCATTGATAAAATTTGAACAGTGTTCGTGCATAGTTAGTTAATAACGTAAAGTGCATCTGTGTTAATGGATTATTGGTACTTCTAATTTTGATATGTCTGCCGAGTTTTTGATGCTTGATGTCTCTAAAGTCACCAAATGAATGTGTGTAATGCAATTAAAACACTATTACTAACTCGATTGATTTTTCTTCAACTCTCTCTCGAGGTTTTTTAATTTTTTCTCTCTTTTTTTGCAAAACTTGCTCATGTTCGTTTTAACCTTTCGTTAAAGTGTTGATCATTCATCTCTTGCCAATTTTGGTGTGTTGACCTTGCTCCGGTTACATTACACTTGTACCCATCAAGCGCTCTCAAAATTCTCTGACACATTGGGCCTCCTCCTTAAAAGTGTGTCGGAGAAACACCTTTTGTTTTTGTCAGAGTGAGTCTTAAGTTGTATTTCATTACTGTCATAAACTCACTATTAAGTAATTTACAACCAATAGGTCCCTTCAAATTTATTTATTACTCACATAAGTGTCTGAAGCAGCCAATTACCAATCGGTGATGAAACTGCAGTAATGCATGTCTCAGTCTTTTGTTGTCACAGACTTCTTGTCTCTTGATTTTCTTCATGGGAAACTACAAAAATTTATTTCTTGAAAATTCAGTGAATTTTCCTCTCTTTGTGTAGAATATCCCACAAAAATTTCAAGGGATGATATGTTGTTCCAACCTCCTCTTAAAAAGTAAAATAGGAGGGTAGATTTTGAAACACTTAAATACGTCTTCTTGCAGTTTCACTGTCAATATCGCCAGCCTGAAGGCTCATGTAAGTGCTTCTCTCAATGACTGGCTAGAATTTTACCAGGTGAATCTTGAAGGTTGCTTAAAGCAGCAATGTAAAATGTAGATTTTCTTGCCAGAAGCTAGCAATCGTCTGTATGCCTTTTTTTTCCTTAATCCCAAATGATCTCAGTTAATTATGTGTGTGGTATATGATCGAAGTCATTTCTAATGTAATTCAACACCAAACATTTTCTGCAGACGGAGTGAGTTCACATTAATTGCTACTCATAGCATACGGAACTGTTATTTCTCGCACTTGATTCTCCATTTTTCTTCTTAGGATGTGTTTAGAAACAAAGTGAAATTAATCTCTTTTTCAAAACATGTAGTATAATAAGCTTAGAAAGGATTAGGAATGGGCCATTAATCTTGTTCACACTGTCTAAAGAAATATGTATTTATTCAAATGTTTTGCTAAGTATTAGCGCTCAAGTCTAGTTTAAAAATTCCCTGTTATGGATGGAAAAAGTGTTCAATGTAAAAATTTGCGATTACATTAGTCTCACTTTATGCTATTTTGAGAAGCAACATCAAAATTTGAGCTTCAATCGATTTAAATAATTATTATTACCTTGTGTGAACTGAGAGAAAATTAAACAAAAAGCCATAGAAATTTGGAAAAGCACTGGAAGCTCTGCATTAACATATCTTGTTGAACAAAGAGTAGCCATCAGAATAAGATTAAATTTTGATAAAAAATGCGACTGAACCCTTGTATTATCTCTGCGGACATCATTCGAAAAGTTTTTCTCATCCCTGTGATGCTAATGTAGATACACCCTTTCTAATTTCATGTGTGTCAGTACCTGGTGACCTGCTGCCTATGAAGGGGCATTACAGACAACTTAATTTTTCAATGTCAGAAGTTAGTCTCTCATGAACAGGGAATGATAATGGATTCTTTCCAAGGATTTAAGATTCATACCCCTCTGTAAATACTTCAACCTGTATTCGTGTTTTGTCCTCTTAATTGCATCTGATTAATATGAAAGAGACATACCCATTTTCTATTTTTGTAACAAGAAGAACATGAAGCGGCAAACAAAACAACCTAGTTCGTATGTACCAAATCAGTAGAATTTCTCTAGGGATCTACATAACTGCATATTTTTGCCGTCAAAAAATTATTTTGAACCTTAACTCTTTCTCATTTAAATTCCTTTGGGAAAAGCTTTAAATTCCAGAATTGAGAGGCCAAATTAATTTTGCACTGGAATCCGCATTCAACCATAATCATGAACCAGCAGCTCTATTTCTGCGGGTAAAGTCGTAAATCCAAGCAATCATAATTAGCTTCAGGTTATCTGCTCAAGGCCTTCATGAAGTCATGCATCTTGAATATGAATATCAATTTTTCATCTCCAAGAATTATGATAGGGTCCATCATGCAACTCCTGAATATTTAGATAAGCTTTTTATTTTTAAGTTTTCTCAAGGCTATAGACCATCCCAAATTTTATTTATAGGGTCTGTTTTGTATCAAAATTTCCTTTTAGAGCCTCAAAAATTCTATGGTTTTTGTGGAAGAATGCTCCTCAAGTGCTTTACAATTTAAGAACCCCAGGAACCATCACCAATTGTAAACAGAAATGGCAAAATGACCTATTGAGACTTGTCATTTTTGGGATGAAGTCCTAATGGGACAGCGCTCACTCCCATTATCTTCATGGTTAACAATACTCAGATATTGTCAAGACTAGATTCTCAGCACTGCCCCTCTGCATCTTACTTCATCAAGACTTAACAGGCAGATCAGCTGAATTTAACAGAAATGCATCAGGTTTGAACAGGAAAAAAAAGAGGTTTAAATTTTATTCCAGCACGAGACTCAAGGGCAAAGTTTGGCAATTATTTTGACTTTCAACATATTTTTTCTCGGCAATGAATTTTTGACAGGAAAAAATTTACGATTAGTTGCATTCGAAATTACCTCTAACTCACTTTTCCCCCCAAAATGCTGATTGTTATGTGTCTGTCAAGCTTAGTTAAGTTCATTTCCATTTTTTTAGAGGATGTCAGTCAATTTTATTTTAAAGGGACAGTGGGTAAGAGCTTCAGTTAAAATGGTTGTGAGTCCCAACAACTGAGGAAAAAAGAGCTGGAGAGCTTTAAAGGATGTTCCAATAATCATACTTGATCAATTTTGGAATCTATATCAGAGGATTAATCTTAATACTTTTAACAATGACTGAAACTCAATATTTTTTTAACTTACATTATTTTTTGTAGTTCCTTGATCCCCATGGTGATCTCAATCCCTGAATGATTGTATATACAGACGATATACAGACATAACTATTGAGCCAATTGTCTGGCTCCCTTGCCTTTGAAAACCTTTTTAATAAAAGGTTGTATGATAACCCCTAAAATGTACTGAACTTGCCGCACTTATCTTTTCCAAGTATTAAGCTTTCTCAGTAACACCTTCTCGTTAACTGAGGATCGCTCAATATAAAATCAGATCGGATTATTGTTCAGAAATTTTCATGAAGAATTGTGTACTTTTGCGTCGGTGGATGGTAAGTTGCATATTTTGTTAGTTGTAGAATAGTTCTAGTAAAAGTGCAATAAATCGAAGTGCAAAGTCCTCACGAAGCGCTATGATTCAACACACAGAAGTCCCTTTTATACATCTAATTATCTCTAAATGGATAGTGGTGGTGATACGCTTTTTTAAATTCATACATGTAGAGGAGACCTTTTTTCTCCCTTCCCTGCTTTTGCCTTTCCAAGTGTCCTTTCTTGTCCTATGAGAAGTAGGTAATGTTTTCTTTAAAGTTTATATTTGATAAGGTAACATTCACCAAAGACCCTTCAGCCTCTAAAAACTTTAATGTATTGTCTTGCGACCCAAGTCCCAAAAAGAATTCAGGTTAAAGAATTGTTTACTAGGCATTTTCAATACTCCCTTTTTTTTCAATTTGTCCTCCAGTAATGAGTTTCTGTGCCATTTCTTTCCAAATGTGAGCTGGTTAGCATTATGTAGAATTAGCTGATGGTTCAAAGTTATACCTTATCTAGATCGCATTTAGCCAAAAGGAACTAGCGTAATTACATTGTTATAAAAATTTTGCTTCTTCATAATTATTCAAAAAATCTCCCATAATAGCAAATAACTTTCGCTTTCCACCAAAAAATTGTTAATTTTAAAGAAAAATAATCTTGTAAATTTGAATACTGTATTTAAAATAAGTATTTTTAGAAGAAATCATAAGTTGCACAATCTTGAAAACACTGTAATCGTGCTGGTTCCTTTTTGCTGAATGCGATCCATTTGATAAATGAATGAAAAAAAACGCACACTTGAGCCTAACAGCTACTATCTGTTCTATTTGAATTAATCAGAATATCCGGAACAGCAGAGTCATTTTTTGCTGCTCCGTCCGTTGAGGATTAGTAAAGGCTGAGGCAGGTCTTGATGACAACAAAAAGGCAGGGTTGGAGCAGCAAAGAGAGACCCCAGCCACCATTTTCAACCGATTGGGACTGTTTTAAATAGCACCACTGCTCTTCTGAAAGTTGTTTTTTTGCGATAATCGTGTGGATTAGAAAGTAGAGATGTTTTAATTTGAGATTGACTAAGGTAATTGTAGCACAGGGAGTGAATGAACAACTCTCTGTGTCAACTTTTTGTGTCAAAATGAGGGATCTTTCAAAATGAGATCATTTTTAATTTTGCCCGTAAAATATCAAATCATTTTAACCAGTAATGCTAAATCTTCCAAATGAATTTTGATAAAAAATCTCCTTAATCTCCCTAAGGATGAACCTTCTTTTCCAGTAGGTAGCAAAACGTAAGCTCTCCTCTTTTTCCTTCTGTCTATGTTTCCCTGTTAAGGTTTGAATGTTGACTATTTCAATTTCATATGACATCTTTAAGTTTTAGTTAAACTTGTTCTTTGTGCTCCGAGCCACTTTCGGCGATACCTCTCTACATCAACTCATTGTTCATTCTCCCATTTCCCCCTCTTTCCCCCCGATTTTCATCTTTCTTATTTTTGCGTTCATTTGACTACTCAATTCTCTCTCTGTGTTTTCCCATTTTGTTGTTGCTCTTTAGACTTAGTACTCACCTCCTCTTTCCAAGCCAAAAACACGCTGTTTCCATGATATTTTTAACAGTAAAAAAATTAGCCATTTCAAACTGAAACCGAGAAATTTTAAGTGTTGTTACAAGATGAGTCTTCTCTTAATCTTTTCTCCACCAGCCTGTAACACTTGGTCTACCACAGGAACATGCTCCGTACCTTGACCTTATGTAGTTGAGCCAAGAATGTACATTCAGTTCAGAAAACGAGTTTCGCCTCGGCTGAAATGGATGGGGCCATGTTTGAAGTTAGGTATATCATT